TCGGCCTTGCGACCTTGGATTTCCATCTTTCGGGCATACAGCTTCACTCTAGTTCTCCACTCTAGGTAGGAGGTGGTGGTGTTCTCAAAACGTGGTATGAAGCTGTCCTTGTAGTCCTTGCCGGTGCTTCCGGCGCCATTTGCCGCCGATCCAGCTGGAGGTCGTGAGGTTCCGCGCTCATGGCTGGACATGGCTGCACGGTCGCCGGAGCCCGCCGTTTTAGGCAGGCTCCGCTACCAATGTGAAAACACGAAAGGTATGGAGTGTGGAATCCAACGTGTTTGGCGTCGAACCGCTCGAAGTGCTCGACGGAAGTCGAAAACAAAGAAACGCTTCTTTCTCACTTGCGTAGCTTGTCATGAATGCTCAAGAGGGCCCCCTTTTGGGGATTCGACCGGAGTGGCAGCGGACATCATGTCAAAAGCTGCGGAAGCTGCGAACCACATGTTTTGAGGCTCGAAACTCACAGTTTCTGTTTCTTTAACACCCACTCGTGATGTTCAAACCGTGGACTGCACCAGTTCATGACTCCAACAGGTAATGATGAAAGATCTTCCGAGATCAGAGAAGCTGCGTAAAGCTTCACTCTTTCTCAGAGTTTGTTTATAGGTTGTTTCTTCTTTTAGATCTACGAAAAAAACAAAGAAACCGCCTGAATATTCCAGCGAACGTCGTCCCGAAGCGAACGCGAAACATTTCAGGATCGAAGCCTTGGTTTGCAAGGAGGACCTTTGTGCCTCGAAGGCCACTGAGACGATGAAGCTCTTGAGTCCTTTGGCAAAGGATAGTGCTAATAGTGGTGATGAGAAGAGGTTCTATAGGGAGGTAGAGGCATTTGTGGAAGTCGTAGCTCAAACTGGAAAATACAGAATTTGCAGAATCCAACAGAAAGGGGTGGTAGTTGCTCCAGAACCCCTGTACTAATCCCTGTATTGTGTAACTGTAGAGGGTCCAAAACAAGTAGTATGTATGACCCTCGAGTTTCTTGAGCAATCCTTACATGAGCCAACAGATCCATCTAGACTCGTCTTTTTAGAATTATCCACAACCCAGACACTCTATGTATGTATTATTTCCACGACCCTTGACACCACCCCAATGTAAGCGAATATATATATATATATGTGCATATATTATATATATCATACATGGAGTGTTGGGCGGGTAGTACTGGGATGCGGGAGCCGAAGCCGCAAAAACCAACAGGGAGATTGGTCATTTTGGCCAAGGTGATGCCCACTACATGCGTGCAGTCTACGGCTATGGTATCCGGACGTCACCCAACGTGGAGGTCCAGTGGCTGCAGCGGTTTTAGCGGTGTTCGGCGGGTTTACAGGCATGAGAAGGATCACCACAAGTGATTAACGCATATGGTGAACAGTGGTGAGATGTGCTCTCAAGCCTCCAAAGGTTTGTTAAAGTCCATTCATGATTTTGCATTTGGAGGGTACAGTTTGATCTTCACACTTTGCTGGCCACGCAGGCGCGAGTGAACCTGAGCTCGATGGAGATGAAGCTGATTCGTCACGAAGAGCCCTTCATTGAGGCGTGGAGCAGCATATTCTGTTGAACGCACACAACTGTTTATAAAGCTCCACTATTAGGTCGGAGGCCATGGCTATTAGGGTTTCCTTGATTGGAACAAAGCTCCACTAGCAGACTGAACTGTGAGGCTTCTCAAGCAATCTCCAACTGTTGCCTTGTTTAGGACGACATCCTTCACACTGAGTGGAGATCCATGTATCTACACACCTAGCTGTGTTCGATCAGAACTACCACTTCTTTTTTGCCTGGAACATCAACTTTGCGAGAGATCATCATGCTTAAGTTTCCCAAAAATCACATGCACTCCGACTCACCAACATGGAAGTGGATGGGAAGTCGTTTTCCTTTCGGGAATACACTACAATTCAACGCTTCCATATGTGTTTTTGTGTTCGTCAGATGTTCGACCTCAGGTCATACACCTCAGGTCACATTCACATGTGTCGACATGTGAAAGGTGTAGATCGGACATGTCAGGACCATCCATGTATGATCTGAGTGTGGTCGTAGATCTGGTGACACAGTGATTTGTCGATCTGGTCAGGATAACCCTGGAGCTCACTGGCCCCCCGTCTCGGGACTGACCTTTGAAGCGGCCTTTGCCAGGCCATGTGAACACTGCAGGGGGAAGGATTTGGGGAGGCCATCGCTAGCAACAAGAAAAGGCAGAGACATTTGTTGGTTCCCATGTGTTTGGTGCTTTGAGCTTGGCACGGACAGAAAGGGGGATGACGGTATAGACTGTGGAGAAGTGAGGAGAGGGAACGAGGGAACCCATGTTCTTGGGATTTCTTCAAGCTTGTTGACCTTCATTCCATGTAGATTCCAGGTTGGAGAACCACTTGCATGGCAAAAATGAATAAGCAGCAGGCTTTCCACTCCAAAAGCCACGGTGCAGCTTGGATCTGTCGAATTCACCTCGCCAGGATCCGTAGTGAGATGGATGTGACCATCCAACAGGCTGGTGCCGAGCTTTAGCTCTTTCATCCGGTACGATTTGTCCGTTCGATGATGGCGAACGTAGCTGATTCCTTGAGCCTTCGAACGGACACACTGTGGCCGCACCCACCTTGCATCCAGCGGATCCAGCCTATTGCAGATGATGCGGATCCTTTCGGACATCTCGTCATTGACCAGGTGTTGTTGAAGTTTCAGTCACCACAAGAGAGGGACATGCAGATGCAAATGGGGACCATCCCATGGTAGCCTTCCATAGACCATACTAATCAAAAGCACGTAGAACTCTTACCATTGGACTACCCTCCAAACTTAGGAGTTTATGAATCAATGAACCAAAAAAAGCTGAGCCTAATATAGTCGTACAGTAATTGTAATGTCAAACTTCAACATTGAAGCACAGGGATGCACAGGGTGAATATCGAATATGCTACCTGCTATACCCTGCTATCACCACCTGAAGAGAAAACCCTGCTATACCCTGCTTGGTCTCACAATGCTTGGTCTCACGCTGACGAGAGGTCTCACCACTCCCGTCCTCCAACCTACTCGTCCGGGTCGAGCTGTGTCGAGGCCACCTGGAGGCGTCCGGTGCATCCGTCACTGGGCGTCAGAGGGGAAACAAAACAAAGCGATGTAAAATCCATTAAATCCTTTTCCTTTTTAATTGTGTGTTCCTTTCTTCTTTGGACCTAGCGATGGCCTCCAACCTATGAAGGAAGGGGGAGGCATTTTGATGAAGTGTTTACTCACGTGAGAGGGAAAGAATAAACTCATGCACTTCATTCAAGGTACTATCGTTATTGCTGTGGTGCACCTTTCGGCTTATGCTTTGTGAAAAGGTTCGGTTGTTGAATTATTGTAGGAATTGTGGGTTGAGAGCATGTTCAGAGCATGGACAATGTGCATGTGATGTGGATGTCCTTGGTGTGTTTTCTTCTTGTTTGTGTGCTTTGAGGGACACATGGATCCGGGAGGACCTTAGAAAGACCACTCCAAGCCTTTGGCAAAAGGTCCCAAAAGCTATGAACAGAAAGCGCTGAGCCGCTGCTTTCCATCCAACACGTCATCCAACGACCAATCTGCTGCGGCTTTACCTGATCAGACTACGTTGTCACACACGTCGTTAGGTGCACCTCGGAGGACATTTTCCAGTTCGAGCTCATCCCTGACGTGGGTGATCCTCGTATCCTCTCTGTGGGTGTGTCCTCAGGCAAGCTTTGCAATGGCTTCATCACGGAAACTTGGTGGAGCTTGATGCAACGATGTGCATGTGAGGTAGAGGCGAAGTAGTGCAACTTGCATAGTGAGAATGTGTGCGAGTTCTTGTCAAATGAATGACCCAATAGTATATCCAATCGGTAGCAAGTATTCCAAAGGTCTCTGACTCAGAAGAAGATCTGCAAAGATATGAATCACATAATATTGCATTCCCTGCAAAAGCGCTCAAGTCAAGTCACTCTGTTTCAACGCAGACTCCGCCAAGGAGAAGGTGAACCAACCTATGTGCCCCGAGCCACAGTGCTTCGCGGAGATCATCGTCTGAGCGGATGAGCTTTGTTCTGAGTGCAAGTAAATGGAGTTACTAGATTGGGTGCGTTCTGTAACCACAATCACTGGGTTTCGCACTTACATGCAACCCTGAAGTGGAGCTACTTGCAATCATAGCCTTGTTCCAGCAGAACCATGGGCTTTGTGGCAATCCCAGCCAATAGGAAGAAAGTACTGGTGGAAGGAACTTTGAGCCCAAAGATAACAAAAAAGGCTAACTTTGCAATAGTGGGTCCTTAGCGAGCAACTCGTGCAAGCATTAAGTCTCCCTAATAAGTCATGTCGTTGAGCTCAGATGAGCAAAGCATCGCAAGTAGCTCTGATGGCTTAGCTCGTGAGGCGTTTGGCCTTCATCAGCGAAGAAAACATGTCCTTTCTTCCTTTTGTTTTTCTTAGTTTTTAATAGTGATGGCCTCCAACCTAATAGGGATGGCCTCCAACCTAAGAGCGATGGCCTCCAACCGAAGAGCGATGGCCTCCAACGTAATAGTGATGGCCTCCAACCTAATAGTGATGGCCTCCAACGTAATAGCCATGGCCTCCAACCTAAGAGCAATGGCCTCCAACGTAATAGCCATGGCCTCCAACCTAGAAGCGATGGCCTCCAACCATGTCCGTGATGGGTACCATGAAGTGCGATTGATGTCGAGTTTGGTGTGTTTCTTTTTTGAAGGAAGGCGTTGCTACTGTAAGGGGGATATGGGCGTGACAAGTGCTCATTGACTCATGATGACCTTGGAATTCTTTCAAGTGATCCGATTAGCCCTTAGCTGGTTTTAGATGAAGAACAACTGGCGACTTGGCAAGGATAGTTGGCCAGCATGTGGATCAGACAAGAAAGCAACGCCAGTGTGGGATTTGCAGAAGTTGAAGTTAATCCTCGAGGTTTCAAAGGAATTCCAGCAAATCCCAGACAGCCTTTGCCTTTGCTCCACACAGCTGCACAGGTGATTGGAGTTGAAGTCCGAAAGCAGAAGGAGTTTTTGAACGGAGAAGCCTTTCAGAGGCCGCACCGTTGGAGACCGATCTACGTCTACCGAGTCTCTCTGTTTCCGAGCCCCCCTTGCGGCCGGTGTTCGACTTGGGCGAAGGTCTTCGAATTGGGGACAAAGGTTGTTGTTCTGTTGTTCATTTCAACTGGATGCTGGAGCATCGTTTACAATTTTTTACATTGACCCTGTATTGGGAAGTCGCAGACAGATTTGGTACTTTCCGGTCACAACAGGGGAGTATCCACCCAGACATACTAGGTCGGTCATTTTGTTATCCCATTGTTTCAACCAAAAAGAACACAACTCTTCCTCACTGTGAGTGAGAAGAGGAGAGAAGAGAGCCGGTCGCGAGGCATATCGAAGAGACCTGTCAGCGTACGCTCCAAAGCTACGTACGCAAGGAGGTGATGATGGACGAGGTGTCCGGCTCCGCTCCCTCGGGAGACCCCGGTCTCCGCAGTCCCACCGAGGGTCCGAGGAACGACGAAGATGCCCCACGTGTTTTGTTCGGAAGCTCCTCTTCTGAATCCCATTTCAGTGCTTGCCACTTGGTCTAGCATCTTGAACTGATACGAATCAGTTCGTGCCAAAGGTATCCCAGCAAAGGTTTAGGATGCTAGTTTAGAAATTCCCAGCAATCATCATCTTCAACCCAGTTCAAATTGCAAAGATTGGCATCCCGCACGCGCGTGCACTGCTTGCCGCCGCTTGCCACCCAGGTGCAACGCTCCACCGAGGAGAACTGCGAGCCACTTCGAGTGCTGATCGCACGGATTCAGAAGGCAACGGGGCCCGGCGGCAACGGGGCCCGGTTTTGTGGCGCCATGACGCATGAAATGACCGCGGCACAAGACATATTGATCAAGACTTGTGAAGCATCATGGACCAGCTCTTGGTTTACTTCACCAGTTGCTTTCGCTCTCCACTGGTATTGGCTTTGTTCCCCGCAGTTGTTGAGCCTCCCGGCCATGTCAGTCCACCCGATCCAACTTGAAACAGGAGCTCGCGGCCATGACGGAGGAGTTTCGCACACGTGATGCGTGCGCCGTGTGGAACCTGCCAGAGAAGCGCTGAAGGTAAGGAGAACGGTCCAATGTTCCCAAGAGCTATAACGCCTGCGAGTACTTATTATGTGTTCTCTTAGAGTACTTATAGGTTTTGGGTAGGGTGTTACGGTGTCATCAGTCAGCAACAACCCTGAACCCTTGAACAATGAAAGAACGCAGTGGTTCTGTCGTCCATGAGTGTCTTCACCGACCCCTTACTGCGTTGGTCTCACCGAGGTACATCGAACAATGCCTCGAAAGCGCAGATGCGCGTTGGGTCCTGAGAATTCTCCGGACCGACCGGTTCGCTGTGCCGGAAGAACGGCCCTGAGCCTCACGTCACCTCACGTCACCTCACGTGGCCGGATCCAAGAACAAGTAGTCTCCCACTGCGAAAGAGTTCTCTCCCAGTTCGTCTTCCCGATTCCCGTGGTCCGCAGGCATTGGGAGTTTGGGCCCAATCATGACGCCCGTGGACCATGTTTCTTGTGCCATGTTTGGTGACTCCAGGCTTACAGCAGAAGGACGAGAACCTCAGCGATAGGAACAAGTGGGAAGGGCTAGGGCGCTTTCATGTACGGTTTCAAATCGTTGGAAACTCTGACAACAAGCAGCCCATAGCAGCCCCAAGCAGCGATGTAATTCCATGACATTCCAGAACAAGTTAGGAACTCCAGTGCTTGTCAAGATGCTTTCAGTGCTTGTCAAGACACCGCATCTTCGGTGTCTCAGTGGTTCACCTGGCGGTCGACGGGAGGATCAACGCGGTGATGGACGAACTCCCGAACAAAGCCACCAACGAGCGTGTCGACAACCTCAGAGGTGTGATGGGGAGAGGATGAGGGCCTCCCACCTAGAAGCGATGGCCTCCAACCTGATGGGTATGGCCTCCAACCTACTAGCGGTTTTCTGTGTGATGTTATAGATTGTTATCGTTTTGTTTTGGTTTGGCGGTATTTCTTCCAAGATGTTCGGAATCATTTCTCGCGACAAATTCTTTGTTTGGCCCATGACAGCGGATCAGCGGATCGGCGTATTTTCCCCACCGCGGATGTTCCGCCCGGTGGGTGACGCGCGTCACCCACCGCTGAGAGGTAAGTTGCTCTACCACGTGGACGTCCTGGAGGGCTTGCACACGAAGCTTCAGAAGGAAGCCACGCTGGGAGACTTAAGCGATAGTCCATCGAAGTGATTTGGGTTCAATCGAGGTCTTTCGCTAGAGGGGATTCAGTATATATTTTCATATATTTTCTGTCTACCAAAAAAGTGGCGCATCTGAGCGTGTCCAAAGAGTGTCGCTATTTCCCTCTTTGCCAGAACCTCAGCCTTTCAACATCTTCCACAAAAAATGTGGATTGACCGTTTTTTCAAGCGAAGAGCATCCTACCACACTCGTCTTATTCCACCTGCAAAGCTTGGTATGTCCTGCAGCTGTGGATCACCGGAACTCATCTCCTCTGCGGATCACGCGGATCGCTGGATCCACTCTCATCCATGGCGACCTTGCGCCTCTTCCGTACCTTCATCGACCAAGAGGAAGACATCGCAGATGCCGCGGCGCGCAGGGCCAGGAGTGACCGGGGGCTGGAAGAATGCCTAGCTTAGGATGTAAATGTGCACGCCCTGCGGGAGAAATCGGCAAAAAAGAAGACGCATCGGCAGAGCTCCCACATTTTGCTGGTGCTTTGATGGGAGCATCATGTTTGCATGTTGTCGTTTTCATCAGCAAAGCAGATGAACATGGATGAACGAACTTGGACGGACTGGGTGGGCAAGAATCTTGGTCAGGAGCCTACCACCTGCTTCACACAAGTCAGCATCCAACCTTGAGGAGGAGTCAGAGCACTCGGGCAGCAAACTAAAGTATTTGATTGCAACTTGTTACTACTAGCGTGGCACTTGTTTCTAATAGCTTCTTGTTGGGTCACCAGGTCCGACCTTTTTCACCAGGTACGTGGCGACCTTGCTCGCCCGCTCTGCCGAGACCTTTCAAGCGCCGGAGCTCGAGGCGGTCGAGGCGGTCGAGGCGGTCGAGGCGAGCCCATCGGCTGGTGGTTCCGCATCGCCATCCTTTGAGCCGTTTTCGTGGAACTTCATGAATGTTTTCTGATGTTTACTGCATATAGTATGATATAGTAGATTCAGTAGATAGTGCATAAGAACATACTTGATAGATGAAGACTGTGCTGTGGAATGTACAGTCCTTCACTGGAAGATCCAGTAGTATATTCGATTTCTGAGATGAATCAAGCCCAGATTCCCAGATCGGAGGCAATGCTTGAGGCAGAGGAGCTTCAAGAAGACGAGGCCTTGCAGCCACTCACCTTGGGCAGCCGTGGCCATCCAGTCCTTTGTCGCCGTGCTTGTGTTTGGTTTGCCAAGGGGGAGTGCAGTCTTGGTGCCACTTGTCCCTATTGTCACCTGCATCACGAACATGTAGTGGTCTCCCTCGACAAGCGCCAGCGACGTCTTCTTCAAGACATGGACACTCGATTTGCACAGGATGACAGCTTTTGTCGTTTTGATCGGGTGACACATGGCCATTATGGTGACATCAAAAGCCATCAAGCCTGCTGGGGTATGCAAATAGGCAGACCACATTTATTCACTAATCATCAAACCAACATTCCGAAAGACGTGAAGGGATAAGAAGGATGTACGAACGATCTCTTCACCAAGTCCTTTGACTTTCAGGAAAAGACTTGCCACATGTCCATCCCACACCCTCACGTCTCTGTCTCATGTCTCAGGATCTCAGCACCCTGCTGGCCACACTGTTGCCACACATCCGTACTGCCATCGCAGCAGCGGATCTACCACCAAACAGCTTGCTTGCCACGCTGTCCGCGCACGCGGCCGCGCCGCTGGCCGCCGTGCACGACCGCCGGGTGCCCCGGAAAACGTCGATGGTGACACCGCAGGCAAGGGTGGCTACCTGTGTAACTGTCGCGGACTTTTGCAGCACATGGGGGCTTCCTATATTTTGAGAGAGAGAGAGAGTGTGTGTGTGTGCTAGAATTAGGTTGTTGATGTTGTTGCAAGACATGCTAGAAGGTTTACTTTCAATGAATGTATGTTGGACAGGAATGTTCCAGCATGTTGCAGCATTGCTCAGAAGTGGACGCAGCACCTGGAATTACTGGAATGGCAATTGTTTTCCTGTTCTGGAAGGGCAAGTCTTTTGCCAGAGCAGTGGACGCTGAGTGCGTTGTCTTTTTTGTGTGCATCCTACACTAGATCCTCTCACGGTTACTTGTGTCATAATTATGCATTCTGTTTGCTGACTGGTTTGCAAGCTCTTCTTTCGGATGAACTCCAGCAACAGCTACGTGATAGGCAAACCAAATCCAGGTCAATTCATGATGTGTTTTGAGCTTTGGCTCTCGCCTTGAACATTGTTTCGTTTTGTTCTCTGGCAGTATGCTGCAACGCTGCAAGATTCAATCAAGATAATTGCCAATCTCAATTTGAAGCTTGCTGCACCCCTTCTAATTCAATATGGCAGGTTGTTCTTTGTTCTCTTCTCTGGATCAATTTGTTCTATGCATTGTTTGGCTATCCAATGACCAAGGCCCAAGATGGCCCAAGACAAGTGTTTTGATACATGCATGCAATGATAGCTTTTCCTCAAGACACTGTTATTTGGTTCAGTGAGATCAGGATTGCTACTTTTGCACTCGAGAGACCTGAGGGTCAATAGTGTGCTCCAGTTGCTTCCCCAATCCACCTATCCACCTGGACTCGTTTCATCGTTGCTTTACTTGAGGCACACTTGACCGAAGATTGCACAGAATGCCATTGCCGCCTGGCAAATCAATCTTAGTGTAGCGTCCTTGCTCCTAGTAGTGAGGCCAGGAGCCCCTCGTAGCGTTCAGTGTAGCGTCCTTGCTACCAGTAGTAAGGCCAGGAGCCCCTAGTAGCGTCCACTGCAGCGTCCTTGCTCCTAGTAGCGATGCCCTTAGTGTTATTACAACGTTACTGTTACGACACTATGTGTCAGCTTTTTCTGAGGGTTGCTGATTAGATCAGATTAGTCATGATCTTGATCGCATCCACCCTTTTAGCGCTCCACAGATAAGACGCACGGTTGGAGCCTCCTGCCGCCAACCCGAAACCAAAATACTGCCTGGTTTAGATGAGACCAACCAGCTGGACCCGAAGCGACCTTTTCCGACCTTTCCAGGTCGGCCCTTTTGTCTTCTAGGAACAAGGGCATCGCTACTAGGGGCTCCTGGCCGTACTAGTAGGAGCATTCTTACTACTAGGAACAAGAAGCAACTAGGGGCTCCTGGCATCGCTACTAGGAGCAAGGACGCTACTAGGGGCTCCTGGCATCGCTACTAGGAACAATGTTTGCTACTAGGGGCTCCTGGCATCGCTACTAGGAACAATGTTTGCTACTAGGGGCTCCTGGCATCGCTACTAGGAACAATGTTCGCTACTAGGAACACCCTGCCAGGTCGGCCCTTTTGTCTTGCATCACCTCGCGACACCGGGACTTTGGCGTGCTTTTGCAAGAGCACGTGGACGATCTTCGTCGTGAGATGCCTCGATAAGACGACAGGGAGGGCTGAATTTATGGACCCCCAAACAGATAGAAACGTACAATCCCTGTCAAAATGTTTGGAACTCCGTTTTCTATCTATTTTGGGGACCAGTCACTCTCTGTGCAAGGGAGGGCTCCCTTGATGAAAGGCATCGCGAAGTCATGTGACCTGGTAAGAGACACATCCCAGGTTGAAGTGTTTAACGGAAATTCAACAAAAACGCCTGGGGGTGGCTGCAGGCACGCTCTTTTGCATGAATCGGATTTTTTGAGGGGATTGGGTACCATAGCTATGCCGAACGTGGCTAGCAATCGTTGCGTTTGTTCATCTTTTGCACGATGAGTGCTTGCGCAGTGCTGAAACAAGCCGCCCCCAGGATCGGTGGTCCTGGCCAAGTTAATGTGAATGAGGTGTCCAGCCTCTAGCGTGGCGACCAAACCTTTGTCGCCTTTGTCAATGCTGCTTGCTATTTCAAAACGAATACTAAATCCCTGTCGGGTAAGAAAGCCTGTTAAAGGAACATAGACGACTGAACTTGACCCAGATGAATTGATAGGGAGATCTGAAAGCTGAACCCAGCAATTCTAAATGTTGACAATCCCTTTGAAACTCATCAACGGCATTGGCCTGCAAGACAACAAATTAGATTGAGAATTTCGAGCGAGTGCTCTCAAAACGGCAAGTCAGAAATGATGTGGTCACGCAAGGTGAGGGCTAAACTTCGTAACTTCGTGTGGAGCTCCAAAAAGGTGCTCCGCCTCGAGGTCATTCGGAGTCCAAAATCCCCGACATTGGCGCTGTCGACGGACAGCGCGGTCAGATGCCGAAAGCTGACCACAGCGCTGCTTGCTGAGGGATGATCCGCTCGAAGGGCTGTTTTAGTGTGTTCCGAGAAGACTCAGCATGTGCATTCTGAGAAGCTCAGAAGAAGCCAGTCCTGAGTCCTGAGGCGCAAAGAAAGACTGCGAGCGATGTTCTCGTATTTTCCAAGATTTTACCTTAATGATGCTTAAAGTGATCAGCTGTAGCAAGCTACGACATGTTTGGGCAGCTTAATGAATTAGCTGTCTCGGGCTCTCCTTCTCCTTCTCGATTGGCACCGAGGCACAAGACGCAAGAGGTCGTGGTGCGGCTTTCGGAGTTTCAAGTGATCCTTCAGGACCCACGTCGTGCGGGGGCATGCCCGGTCGGTCAGTTTTTGGGCGGGTGGCAGGTTCCAAAAAATTTGGAAGAACCGTGCCAAGTCAGAATGCATATAGCAATCGTGGTGTAATTATGCATCAAAACGGCATTGAGAGGTTATTGAGTAGTAACTCTACAGAGTTCTACGGAACAGCACGACACATGTCAGGATCGTGATTGAAATGTGCGAGCTGGATTTGACATTGGTGGAAACAGGTGCAGAAAAACAAGTGGGCAAAGGGTGCGCACACAATGAATGCTTGAGCATAGGCTGCTCCTGGACTCAGTGATGTGCTTGAAAGTTCATCTTTTCATCTCCAGACACATGCACGATTTGGTTACAGGTTTGAAAAACTTTCTTTGCGCAAGCCTTCTCAATGCAGCAGACATCTTGAAAATCATATAATCCCAGAAGATGTGTTTTTTTGGTTTCTTAGTCTCATCTTCACTTTCTTGAGCAGGTTTATTGCTTGTTTATCTTGACTTTGAGGGCCATGCAGGTTGTCAAACTGCAGCTAGTGGAACCATATCGCTGAACATTCAGGTTGCATTGGACCTGGTTGAACACAGAATGCTCGCGATGAACAGGTTTCTACATGTAGGTGTCAGAAAAACTGTGGCCATGGTGTTTGTCCTTGGCCATTTTGAAGCTTGTCTCCCACTGCTCAAAAAGACATTTCGCCACAGAAACAGAATTATCACGTAGGCAAAGCAGACATAACTGTTTCTGTGTGTTTCTGTTGTTTATGTTTTGTTTCTGCAATGTTCCTGTTTTTTTTGTATTTGTGTGGTTGCCTTTGGTTGTCTTCGTGTTAGGGCTTTGTACGAAGTGTGGTCCGCAGGGAAGGCTTTGTTCTCTTCGTCTGTGCGTCTCCTTTGTATGTTTGCTGTACAAAGAATACAGCTTGCTTGTAAGTCAGTTGCAAAGGACCTTTCCACTACAATGTACAGTTTTCATGCATCTTTCATATACATATATATATATATACATTGTCATATAGTCACTAGTTACTAAAACTATAGCTTGTAAGTGTGGGCTTTTATTTCAGTTTAAATAATGCACTCGTGGTGCCAATTCTTCGTGTGGTCTCAAGACCTTCCAAAAATTGTGCGGCTCTGATGATTTACAGTGAGCTTGCATCTGCGCAAATGGCCTTAAATGGAGGACCATGAACATGCCTTGCAACACGCCGCAGAGGACGGGTTGTGTGGGGTGAGGCATATGGGGTTCTGGGAGTCTCAAGTGAACGGGAGAGCCAGGTTCGAACAAACCTCCCCGTGGGCCATAGGAGAGGTAATGGGTGGTTCGCGCGTGCAAATGGTTCGTGGTTCTTTCAATCTCCTTCCACAACTCCTAGTAGCTTATTGTTACTAGTAGCGTGGCACTTGTTACTACTAGCGTCCTTGTTACTACTAGTAAGGCATTTGTTACTACTAGCGATGCACTTGTTCCTAGAAGCGTCGGATGAACGTGACTGCTTTCCAGGGTGATGGCGACTCCTCGGTTCTCAGTTCTCAGTCCACCGACTGCTGGGGCACGCACCGGATGGAGGGCGGCACTGTAGGAGATTCTACACCGGGGCACCAAGTATGACATCGCCGTGCTCACGGATCGGGTGGACCAGTGTTCGGTGGACTCAGAGAAGGGTGGGGTGCAGGACTTAGAGCGCTTAGACGTGGTCGGTGTGGTCGGTGGCTTGGAGGTGGTGTTTGATTATTGTGATTTTAAGTCATTTGACTGTTGACTGGATTCGAAGATCTAGAGCTCTGATTCTTCCAAGAATGTGTTGGAGAACTTCATGCTTCACGCGTTTTCACCAACACTGCCTCAGTGGTTTTGATCTACAGAAGGTGATGAAACCACAGGCTCCCAAGTGCAACCAAAAGCAGGATGAATTTTTCACACAGTCAGAGAAGAGTGGTAATGGCACATAGAAGTTCAATGTCTGAAGTTCAAGGGGGATTCAGCAACCGATCCTGAGAACTGCCAGAGACTTCTCTGTAAAAGCGGCTGCTGTTCGAAAATGGCTGAGGTGCTTCGAAGGAAAAGATGGATGGTGATTTGAAGGCAGGGACTGGTGTTCGTGGGTGCAGATGGCAAGCCAGCACACACCCCACGACGGTTGAAACACGACGGTTGAAACATGGTATCGGTCATGGGTCAAAGAATCGTGCAGACCTCGGTACGCATGGACCCCGCTAGACCCCGCGAGACCTCGGTATCGGTCATGGGTCCAGTTGGGTCATTGGATGGTTTGTCCAGCACCAGGGTCTGCAAGGACCAGCACCTAGTAGTAACAGGGGCATTACTACTAGTAGCTAGAAGCTATACTAGTAGCGAGGGACTCATGTGTTGAACTTTTCCTCACTTGATGTTCATGCTTTTGAGCGGGGCGCCCAGGAGATCCGTGAGCAACTTTCCTGGCCTTGGAACTCAGTTGTCCATGTCGTCCCGTCGTCGTTTGACCATTTAGAGAGATAGGGAGATGGCCCTGTAAGTGAATTCTATAGAAGATGCTAATGCTTGTCAACTTGTCACCACTGCCCACGAGGCCCTAGTCGAGGGTTTCTCTTCTGAGGCAAAGTACGAAGATTGAGTCGATGCAGTTTCAGCATGGCTTGTCCTTGCAGCTGCTGGGCGACAATGACTCCATGGGTGGGGCGGACTGGGGCAGGACCTGTGGCAAGGGGGATGTGTTTTTGGAGATACTGTGGGATGCTGCTGAAAGGAAGCCTTGGGGAATCGTGATGATACTGCAGACTACTTATTGTGACAAAATATTGGTCGCTGATTTAAATCTATAGAGTGGGCTCACACCGCATGCTCACCGATCGCCACTGAGGCGTAGCTCTTCTCGTCGCCCTGGGCACCTGAGAAGCACCAGCCGTCGGAGTGGCCCAGAGTCGTGACGAACACGACCGGACGCGACCGGGCGGATAGTGAAGAAGACGGGTTTTTGGCCAGTTTCCTTGTGGTTTTGGCTGTTTCTTGGTCATCAAGTCTCCTGAGGGTGTCAATTTGATGAGTGGGCCCATGTTTTGGGGGTTAGGGAACAATGTTGGCCCAGTCCACTCGGGTGGAAAGTCGGACTTGAACCCTTCAGGTTTGGCTTTTTGATTTGGTGCTTGGAAGAAAGACCTGCCTTGCTGACATCTGCTGACTCTGTCCGCACCGAAACAGACCTGCCGCATCTGTTGTTTGCCTGCAGACATCGATCACGTCGTCCGTCATCGAAGAGGTGCTTTGAGCCGAAGCAGCTCTGTGGCGTCGGGGATCCCAGGTGAGCCGCGCTAAGAACCTCCCTGTTCATGTTGAGTAGTGGGCTTGTCATATGAATCCTTCGCGTAAGCAAACTCTGATGTGCGTAAGGTTGCGTAAGCGTTTTTTGTGAGATGAAACTTGCGTAAGCCGCGTAAGCAAGTCGAAATTTAACATACATGTCACATGTATTCTTGAAATGTTTGGAAATTCTATGGAGACCTTTGTTGATGAAGCCTTGCATTGGATCTTTTTCTTGGCAATTGGTATGGTCGAAGGTGATTGGCTCCACAGAAAGAAGGGTTCTTGGGGTTCCTGTAGTCATTTATATACAGGACATAGGCATCAGGACAGAGATTTTATGGGTCAACACATGCAAACATTACTCCTATAGCCATACAAACAACTCCCATAGCCATAAAGTCTACCAGCAGTTGTCAGACACACTATGTCACTATGCAGTTATCGGTTTTGGTGTCGGTAATACGCGTAAGGCGCGCGTAAGCTTCGCGTAAGCTGCGCGTAAGCCCCCCTCTCTTTTGTAGACGGTGGCCCACGATGCCTCCTAAAAAGCAGGCTTTTTCTGACTTGCAATGGCGCCAAAGGCAAAGCATTGTCCAGACCATCTACGAAATCCTGGCTGCTCACTGCCCTACAGCCGCGGACGTAACAAACCTGCTGTGTGCTGTGCTTTGCTTGGAAAACAGATGGCGCGTAAGCTGGCGCTGTGGCCGGGTGCAAGATTGTGTTCGCGTAAGTGTTGCGTAAGCCCCTTTGTGTGCAAAGTGTGCGCGTAAGCTGCCATTGTGGTGGCGTAAGCCAGGCGTAAGCTGCTGCGTAAGGAAAGTCTTACGACATAGGCAGATGCCACACGTTTTGAGCACAGCTCAGGTGAGAAGCGGCACGAATTGGTGACATGAAGAAACCTGGAAGATGCTGGAAGAGGGGCAGGAAGCACTGATGCTACCGGCAATGCTACCGGCAATGCTTACTCACACCACAAGTTGAAAAGGACACTTGCTCAGATTCAAACATCGGAGGTTTCAACACCTTTGCACTAGCCGGACCCACCGCAAGCTCCCTACATCTCCCGTCACCGGCCCTCTCTGCTGCTGTGGGTGCACTTGAGTTGGATTCCGATTTGAATTCTAGTAGCGTGGCACTTGTTACTAGTAGCGTGGCACTTGTTTCTACTAGCTTCTTGTTACTAGTAGTAACTCAGGAGCGACCACATGGGGATGGGCAAGACCTTGAGCTTGAAGATGGCCTCCTTGAACTCACAGGCCTCGGCGTGGTTTCACGACACGACCAAAACGGCTCGACACAACGACACCACGACACAACGCCTCGCGCGTTCGCATGGTCCTGGGCTCATGGTATAGTTAATGTCCGGTCCATGGGCTGTGAGACGTGCTCGGTGTGGGGAGGACCCATGCACCAAAGCGGTGGTTTGACTTACATGCACTTACATCACTTCCGGAGCACGTCATCTGGAAGCTTTTGGGGTCGACCGAGCAACATGAAGCTGTCAGGGCTCCGACCTGCCAACTCCTCAGAGTTTGGGGTGAGGGGTAGTGGAGGGAAGCATCCCTGGATTGTTCAGTTCTTGGGTTTGCATTGTTCCCATGAAATTGCTTCTTGAGGGGGTGGGTTTGGACATGCAAAGCTTTCGGGCCAATCCGCCTTCTTGCTTTCGGGTTCTTATCCACATGTTCCTTTTTGCTCCCATTGAGAAGCAAGGAAGTGAAGCAGGGTTCCAAACACCAGACGTTGAGGGCTGTCGAACAACTTTGCATAAATTAAATAGCATCCTATAGATACAACCTGCGCTGAAGCAACCAGCCTAAGGGAAGGACTGCTGTTGAGAAGTATAGTAGCGATGGCCTCCACTCTAGGAGCGATGGCCTCCAACCTACTGGCGATGGCCTCCAACCTCAGCTTTTCAATTTTACTTTCGAAACCTGAAGATCTCTTTGACCAAGGAACCTCATGAGGATCGCCACGGATGACCAGCCAGAGATCAAGGTCTGTCAGCGGGGGAGGTCAGTGGGGAGGTCAAGGTCAGACGGCAAGGCGAAGGTGATTGTGGGACATTGTGGGCCTGTCCAAGGAAACTCCTCAAGTTTACACATGTTTGGTCCAAACAGCTCAGTCATCTAAAGATCGTGTATTTCAACAATTTGCAAATAGCTCTAACATTTTATGAATAGCTCCAAGTTCTCACCACTAAAGAGACAATAGTCAGTCCCAATGTTTGGATATATTTCATGGTTGGTCAGTTGGCTTCAGTCCGAGCATTGAGGTAAACAGAAACCCTATGCCTGGACCGACGAAAACGCACAATTTGTCTGCCCTTTGTCTTTCAAGGAGTGACACATGTCACATAACATTATACAGGAAGACTACTGAAAAGAAAACATCAAATCTGACAACATATCCTGTTCTTCCTGTTGCAAAAGAAAAGACCAGACACCCAAAGCCAGGAGACTGCTGTACTTGACATTTAAGACTTAAAGAGACCACAAGGTGCACGATGACGTATGGTGCTATGTTAGACAGTTAGTAGCCATGACCGGCAAAAAGACATGGAACTGAAACAACATGAACCAAGGACATCCAAAGACTTGTCGCTTGATCACGTCAGGGCAAGCTGTGAAAGCTGTTGCTGCCCAAGTGGTCCCCACCTCTTGTCATCTCGTCGGCTTTTCGCTGACGCTCCGGTCGTCTACCCGCGACAGGATGGAAAAAGTGGTGATTCCAGGCAGGTGGCGGAGCCTGGCCCTGTCATGAACACGTGCTTCCCCTGTAGAACCAAACCGCAGGAAGAGAATGGTTGATGAGTCGATCTGGGATCGAGTTGTACTTTACCCTTGCAACGCATGAATGCATTGATGGGCATGGTTTCCTGATTCCTTCTGGTCATTGAGCTGTTGTCATGAGAGAGATTGAAAACAGATCCATGGAACAGCAAAGCTACAACAGGAATTGCACAGAACCACCAAGGCCATTGCTCAATGTATGGAGGATGATGGAGAAGCTACCTACTGTCTGTTCTTCCTCCATTCTTCGGCATCCCGTGTTTCAGCCCCAAAACTGAAGTTCCTTTGATCGGCCTGGACTTCCGCCGTTCTTTCATCCACCCACTGTCTCAGGACCCACCCATGCTCCACCCAGCCGAAAACCCGCAGTCGATTCTTCGGTCCCGTCAGTCCAAGCAAACGCTCGGAGAACACCGAGAGGGTGGATACCGGTGGCCTGGGCGGCCCAGTGGACAGATGTGACCGGTGATTGGTGTGGTCTTTCTGACGGAGCCGAGAGGTTGTAATGGGTTTGGCCGAAATGTTCTTCGATTTGTACGTGCGATGTCCACAAATTGGAAATGGCCGGCATTTGGCAGTGTTAGATGGCGCTATTTGTTCTACAGGCGTTTTTGGGATGGTGCTGATGTGGGTTCCAGCTTTGGGATGCTGTCGCCGCCTTTTACCCTGCCCAGTGGGTAAAGATTCCCAGCGTTTCTCGGACATGTCCAATGCATCTCCATGTTCCGCTTCGAAGCTCTGAAACGAGCACATTTCAGCTTGTTACACGAAGACATGAGACCTCTCATGTCAGATGTTTATTCAAAAAATCTGATCCTAGAAATTAAATCGATTCCTGACCCGGACATCCGTAACGTTTCTGAATTCGTCAACAACCTCAGTTCCTTGAATATATTTCCATTCACCAATCACAGCTGAGAATCTCACCAAACGCAATCGGTAAAGGTCTCGACATTTCGATTCCCAGCTGGCCTGACGAGAACGGTGAATGCGGGAACCAAAGCAGCACCGTCCGGCACCCACAAAAGCACCAGGCAACATCTCCATCTCATTGTTGCTGGACGAAGAGAAGAACCAGGCGCACTGCATGGAGAGATATGACCCGTCACCTGCCACAAACGGACACCTCACAAGAGTAAAACATGACCACAAGTCGAGGAATCGGAAGCATGACAATCCCCGAAGAACAAATAACTAGGCTAGCACTTTCTTTGAGGGAAATGAGAAAGACTGTTCTTGGGAAATCTTGGAGCCGTAGAGCTCGACTCATTGGATACAACTCTGCCCGCATTTGCCCGCAATGCGAAACTTCAAACCAGCGATGTTTTTGCAGCTGCAAGGTCATGCCTCCCTCGGTTAATTTCCTCATGCAGCGTTTCTGTGGATTTGGTGGAACCAAGGGTAATGCGGCAAACCCTATTGTTGTTTTTCAACGTTTTTCTAGGCGTTCATCGAAACCCCAGCTTTGGTCCCGGTCGGGTCATTTCGTGGATGTTCCAAGCCTCAAGCTCTTCCGGCGAACGAGGGAGAGAAGGCCAATCAGGAGGATCCGACGATGGAGGCACCGGCCCTTGTTTCGCGCAGTTTTTTTTCCCGGGCTTTCAGTTGACAAGACGAACCTTCCGAGGGCCTAGGATGACTTAAAGCAAAATTGTCTGCATCGCTCTACTACGAATGGTTTTGCCAGGATGTGGTTCTCCAATTCTGGTTCTTTGAAACCCTTTTCCCCCAGTATTTCACACATTCAGCCAGATCGATGTGGAAAAAGTGGGCCGCTGTGGCTCAAGACGTGACGGTGAAAGATGGGTGTGCCCCGGTGTCCGTGGCATCGCTCCAGTGACCTGGTTTCAATCGTCAACCACCCCCATCAGGCCTGATGCGGAGTCACGTGAGTCCTATGCCAGTCCCAAACAGCTCGTATTTGGAGTCTGGACATAAACATGCACTAAGATCTTTGCCTAAGTCTTTGACTACTTCCACAGACGGGTGCTCGGACCCATCCAGACGGGTTCCGGACGACGACGTTCCCTCGGCTCGCCGCGCGACCGGGTAGTCCGTCCGGCTCCGGACGACGGACGTGGAGCGATGTCGGTGGCAGGATGACCCTTTGGAGGTCTTCCCTGGGCTGGACGGAGGCACTGAATGGATATGGTCTGAGTCATCCAGACTCGTCCGGACTCAGTTAAGCTTAGCCGTGAGTCATGAGAAGCTTAGCCTTGTGCCGAGATGCTGAAGTGTCAAGAAAGCGCAGCTATGACATTGTGACATACTCTCCAACTCACTAGAATTGTCCTATGGAACACCTGCTTTGTAAAGTCAATTATTATGCTCTTGCCCCAAAAATAACAAAGACATGTCGGAGGTTGCCAGCTCCTCCAGCCAGGTGCAGGGTGTTTGTGAGAGCCGCCCAAAACACTGTCTGACCGTCGGTCGCCAGGGCCCGAGTTGCAGGATGCTCTGATCGATCAACAGGAGCAGCTGCAATTGCTGCAGGAGCTCCTTCCGGAAAGATCAGCTGGCGGGGTGTTGAGCACTTTGGGGTTTTCAGCTGGGGCTTCAAATGACATGAGTTCAAGAAACGGTGCATAGCGCATCACGACGCAAGTTCAAGAAGCAGTGTTGGAAGGTATAGCTTTGGTAAATGGTAGATGGTCAATGATTGGAGCCAGCTTTTGCACACCTGTTTTCATTTGCTTTCCTCGTTTACAAGTGGCTCATTGGAGATCAGGCCTTCCCCCTCGTGCACCCTGTTCTCGCCAGGACCAGTTGGCTGAAATGCAGCAGGAGCGAAATCGGGAGCAGTATTTCTTTGTGCCGCACGTCGCTGTAGATCCATCGTAGATCCAAATCATTTCAATCAAATCTTGCAGGTCGATTGTTGTAGGAGAAAAATGAGTTACGAGCCTCTCCACTCGTGTCGGGATGTGTCGGGTGCTGTACTCAACATGCACGCTTTTGTACTTGTTTGTTGGCAGGACCTCCACCAAATGTATCCGGGGCTGCTCATGTTTTTGACAAATTTCCCAAGATAGATTGGACATGATTGGACTATAGACACTGTAAGTTGTGTGAACATCTTATTTGATCCCCAAGAAAAGCTTCCTACAAGGATCACTGGTGAATTTTGTTTGAATCTAACTGGATGAATCTTTGTAGAATGACTGTGGCGTACCTTTGCTCGTAGACACAGAAAGCACCACGAATCCCAGCAGCTCACAGCAGCTACTCTCCACCGATGCAGGCGAGCTTCATGTCGGGCTCGACACTCACAGAGGTGGTGCAACAGCAGTTGGAGTCCGGGGCTCCCAGTGTGTCCACAACAATGTGCATATGTGAAAAACAATGTGTGTGTGTGAGTGTCATGGAAGATCACTTTGTTGATGACCTGAATGGGAGATGATCTGGCAACTACAATCTGACTAACATGGAAACATAGAGGAAAATGGTCTTCCACAAGGGCCATTTTCCATTTCCATGCTAGTGAGTCAGAGTGCAAGTGTAAATGTGATAAACCGAATGAGCATGTATTGCCCCGCATGAGCTTGCTGAGGTTTCTGGCACAGGGGGTCTTTTGCCTGGGACGTTTGTTCCTGAGGCAAGGCCTTTTGCATGAGTATGCTGACATATCATTTAGACTGCTGATTTAGTAAAAAGACATGTATGATTAAAGGGCTTTACAATCCAAGTGATAGGTTATTAATCAAGGTTCTACGCTATGGGTTCTTTGCTTATGTGGGCAGCTCGTATTGTGTGTTTCGACATGTTTCCTGGCTGTGTCCTCCTCTCAATGACCCCTTTGGAATAGCTAGCAGCAGGTGTAGAGGTATGAGACGAAGAGGTAATGATGTGCCTGTCAAATTGTTGCACTCCGCTTAAGACTGGATGACCAGGCCGCGTAAAGACCACTCGCTGCTCCATCGGCAGGAACAATGCCAGACCCTCACTACCGGGATGATGGCGGGATGGAAGCGAGTGACAAAACTAAACTTGGAATTGAGACCAACTTATCATCTTGATTATTGAAGAATACTTCACACTTCTGATACATACTCATTGCATTTCACCAGGATACCATACTAATTCCGCAATTGACAGGTGTTTTTTTCTGATGGAGCATGTTGGTTCCATCAGAGCTCAACGATTTGAGACTCAAGAGTCGAGGGGATGGTGGCAAAACCATGTAGGAGATGGTATATATATATGCAGATTTCCCAATCATGTGGTCCACGTTCATGTCCGGTCGCCGACACTCACGGGGTCAAGCGCCCCACACCAAGCTTTGAAAATAGCCTTCGCGGGTCGCTGCGCCTTGTTGCTCTTCTTCTGTCGCAAGTTGTTCGGGGCTGTTTTGTAATGAATCCCTCTGGTTGGGACAGGCTGAAGGAAAGAAACAACTTCGAAGCGTGCTAGGTTGTTTGGCATGGCATGCAGGACAACTGGCCATGGAACTCAGTGCACCTACAGGACTTCTTATTTCACAAGTACCTCAAGCAAAAGTCACAGACCTCCTTGAAGCCAACAAACTCTTGAGAAAAGCAAAACTACGACAAGGCCAAAAGATGATCATCCACACACTCGAGAAAGAGAACATGATGCTAACTGCTTGGGTAGATGCAGCACACGGAAACCGTCAAGACCTTAGTAGCACCAAAGGCATCATCATAGGATGTACTCCAAAGAGAGTGCTAGATGGGGATCTAGTAGAGGTAAACCCGATATACTGGTGTTCCTCGAAGATATCCCGTGTCTGTCGCTCGAGCGCTTCAGCAGAAACGAGAGCTGCAGTTGACGGGGAGGATCAGTTGTTTGCTCTGCGATTCCAAATGGCTGAATTTCTTGGATACCATGCAAACATCTGGAACCCATGTGAGACTGTTGGTCATGTGGAAGGAGCCCTCATGAGTGATAGCAAAAACGTGTACGATCGTTTGAACTCTACGGTCCTCACCCTTGGTGGAGCGGAAAAACAAAGCGATATTGAGACCCTCTGTTTGAAAGAGGCGATTGTTGAAGATGGAGTGCAACTGAGGTGGGTTAATGGGGAAAGCCAACTTGCTAACAGTGATGAACCCCACCAACTTTTGATGTTTTCGGAACGGAATGGTCGATGGCGAATTGTTTACGATGAAGGGATCATTTCCGGTAAAAAGAGGAAACAACAAGGAAAAGGACCCCTAGACTAAATTGAGAATGGCATTGAAAGATGTTTAAGATTCTGGACCCATGCAGATTTCCCAATCATGTGGTCCACGTTCATGTCCGGTCGCCGACACTCACGGGGTCAAGCGCCCCACACCAAGCTTTGAAAATAGCCTTCGCGGGTCGCTGCGCCTTGTTGCTTCGCATATATATATATATATTGCGGCAATGTATTGTTGCGTCAATTAATGTCAATAATATGTTTTAATATGTGTTTGTATTTGTGAACGTTCGGAATGTGTTTGAATCAAATCATTCATTGGCTGGGATTGATGCAAAACTGTCACGCAGAGTTCCCAAGAGCAGAAAGCGTATGGTATGGACGCAGCATGTTGCTGAACATTCACAGTGCCAGTGCTTTCCCAAGTCTTTGCACTTCACAATAGCCTGTGTCCAGGTGCCAGCTTGCTGAAGCACCTCCATTCCGTCTCTTGGCATAGATGGGGCGGATGGTTGATGAAAGCCAATTGAAAGCCAATGAAACCCATAGGGCCGGTGTGGTCGGACCGTGGCCACGACGCATCTCTCGTCGGATGCGTCGGACCCGTGGTAGCGCTATAGATTCGGACACAGCTTGTCGTCTTCTTTGCGAAAATGGCCTCAAAACCCAGACGACGTCTACAGCTTCAAACATGCCAACAGCCGCTATTTTCTCAGAATGACGACCGTGGAGCCACCACTGGCTGCAGGTGATGCATTGGGTCATTCACCGTGAGGGGCCTCAGAATCGGCCTGGGTGGTGCTACGTGCTGAGTGCCGTTCTCAAGCATGTGCTTGAAGGAACTGTGTTTGGAATGCTAGGATCATTTGGTACGGTCAACATATGGTCAACATTTACGGAAGGACTACGCCAGATCCAGATGGTTTTTGATTCGGTCCATTCCACTTTCACCGTGCCGATGCTCTGTAGCCGGCCGACAATCGCACTCATGTTCCGTTGGCAGTGCCATAAAATCACCGACGGAGCCCCAACGGATCGAAATCCGAAAACCAACGACGACTCAACTCGCAAGAACTCGAAACAACGTCGGAGTGTCGTCGTGGTCGCCGCTCCGGAGCACCGAGGAACGGGCCGCCGTCGTCGGCTCCGGAGCGCCACTCGGTCGTCGAAGGCCAAAGACCTGCGGAGTGGGACCCCACGGCACTCACGACGATCGCCCTGAAAGCGGCGCAAGACTGCGGCCTGGGCCACCAGAGCAGACAGGGCGGTGGAAAGCGGAAAGCGGTGGAAAGCGGCTGGGGAGGAGGAGAATGTTTCTTTGCGGTGCAGGAGAGTGACTGAGGCAGTGGTCAGTCTATGGATTGTTATGGTGATACAGTCCGATATAGTTTAAGTAGAGTACATGGTGTTGCATGCAGTCGAATATGAGTTGAATGGTGGCATTGCCTGTCGCAAGTCAGAGTTTATGCGTTGTTCCACAACTCCGCATTTCCTTGTTTCAACTCATTGAGAGAGTGGCACACACGCACACACAACGGGAATACGTGCAGTGACTTGCAGTGTATCAAGGAGGATTCTTGAAGCTGGTTCCATACACATTCTTAACAAGTATGTATTTGTCGAAAATCCAGATATACTCTTTTCAAAGAAAGGATTCCCTAGACTCGCACACTCCCTACACAACAGTTGTAGCAGGAAAAGTAAGATTTGTGGGCTGCGTCCCTGTAAAGTATATCATCTTTACAGTTCATGGAACATGACATCAGTTTTAACATTTTTCAATCATTCTTGAGACAGCACGCTTGATAGTTTAATTTAAGGATTCCCATAATCCACTGCAACGGAACCGTAACCAGCGTTGCCACGTGCCGCGATCCCTGGCTGGAGGCCATGGGGCACACGAGAATGAGCAAGGCGCACTGTTCCTTGGCGAGACATGAAGGACCACTTTCTAGTAGGTTGGAGGCCAACTTTGGGCTTTCTGGGTGAGCCATGCTGACAGGGTTCATGCTCGAAGTGGCAAGTAGGGGTATATGAGACTCCCATCTATATAGTTCTTCTTGGGTCTTAGGATGGTTAAATAAATAAGCAAAAAGCCTGGTGTCATGTCTGTTTCTTTTGGAACCGATGCCATCCACAAAATGTGTCCCATCCACGCACGTTCACGACGTTCGAGTCGCTACCGCCGAGGTCCCGGCGCGAGAGCCTGGCCAAGGCCCAGCAGCGGATGTCCCTCCGGAGGGCCAAAGCGGCCTGGGTGCCTCAGCCAACCCGTTGACAAGAAGCTACTAGTAACAAAGGGCATCGCTGCTAGGAACAAGAACGCTACGAACGGGGCTCCTGGCCTTACTACTAGTAACAGTGAAGCTTTACTGAGTGACAAAGGGACATCTGTTGCGCCCATGGAGTCGCATCAATACCGGTCACCCCTCAGATGTTATGACCAGAGAGCTGGTACAGCTGGCCACACTGAAAGCAAGAACAAGACCCACTGCAAGAAGACAAAGAAGGAACCTTAAAAGAATAGGAACGCAGCACCAAAGCTTGGACCTCGGTAAGTCGAGTATAGATGGATTTCCTCACACCTGGTTTGGAGTGTTTGTTTGCTGCCTCGTATGATGTTGTGGATCTGAACTGCTCTTCAATCCCCTTGAATTTGGCTCACAAAGTACAGCGACCTCAGAAAACCAAAAAGGACTCCTTTCAGAGCTCTTCCGTCTCCCATGTGTCTCCCGTGTGTCTCCCATCACCTCCACCTGTCCACCGATCCGGAACACCGATCCGGAACACTTGCTAATAGTGTTCGATCGCTCCGTTCGTAGCGATGCCCTTTGTCACCAGTAAAGCTTCATTGTTAGTAGTAAGGCCAGGAGCCCCGTTCGTAGCGTTCTTGTTCCAAATGCCCTTCCTGCCCTTTTCTTTCCGATCGATGCAGCGGATCCTCAGCGCTCCGTCGTGCTCCGCCGATCCTCAGCGCCTGCGCCTGCGAGGCGTCTCAGCCGAAGCCCACGCCGGAGCGCTCCAACTCGCCGGAGTTCTTCACCGGGCGGCAGTTCGCCACCGGCGGCGTCGGCCCGGGGGTCCCGAGGACGTGGGACGTGTGCGGACGGACGTTCTCTGACGGGGTGAAGCGGGTGGAAGACGGGACGTGTGTTTTGGAGGTTCGGTTTGGTCGCTTGGAGGATTGAAGTTGCTTGGTGAATGATTAGTTGATTGGCAGTGAAGAGAAAGCACGCTTTCAAGTTGTGTACAGTTATGGACATAATTGGACATAGGATTGTTTGTTTGATTCTGGCATAGGACTTGTTAGAGATTCATCGGCACAGGATGAAAGTTTTGCTTAGTCTCAATCGGTCAGTTGGAAGATGGGCGGGATATCTCTGAATGCTGTCCAACAAGTCATTGAAGAGGGGTCAGCTTCTGAGCTGAAAGAATGAATTTGGAGAGCAAGCACGTAGCACGACAACTTCATCAATTGCCAAAATGTTCATTGCAAAGGGTGCGCATGGTGTTTGCCTATTTGCATTCAGAGTATCAATGCATCGAAGGAGTGCTTTATTGTTATACAACAAATTGATGTAAAAACAAACAATTGCTTCAGAGCATGATCAATGACCTTGTCATTGGGCCATGGGTGCTAAAAGAATTGGCCAAACCTGCAAAGTTCACAAGCATGCAGAAACACATGTCTTCTTTCATTGTTGCAACATGGAGATGCCTTCGACGGATGGTCGGACGCACACGTCTCATTCAGGTTGGCAGCAACGCGGCATCCCAGTGGCTTGGCAGCAACGCAGCAACCACGGACCGGACACGGGGTTTGACCGGGCGACGCTTTGGACGGCGGACCGCTTTGGAAGGATGACTTGGAACAGAAGATGGCACCCGAAAGGGGGGAGGCATGGGGAGCGTGCCCAAATCTTTCGAGGCCGTTCGATTGATTGCAGAACAATGGCAGCTTGCTGAAGCACCTGGAGGAGTTGGATCTTCTAGGAATGTATAATATACACATCAAAAGCCTATCATATTGGATGCCTTGAGTGGCGCAGTGGTGGAAGCTGAGCAGAAATTGCGCAGAAAGAGTCGCGAACTTGAGCCTGAAAGGCTGCTCCGATTGGGACCAGCACAGCAAGCCGGTGAACAGGAGGTCTGGACTCCGACCTTGTCGGCTTTTTGGGGCTTTACCTCTTGGTGCAGATACTTTCCTCGCTTCGTCGTTGGAAGGATCAACCTGCTTCACTGCCTCCAGCTACCTGGCTTAGTCCTCTCTTCGACTGTAGCTTGGCGTCAGCCAACCCTCAGCCATCGCTGCCATCACGTGGAGCCTGGAGCGTCTCAACTGGCAGGTCTCGGCGTCTGGTGACGTTGAAAACGACTTGAAGTGAGGACGTTTGAGACACTTGAGACACTGTCAAGTTCTTATTGGTTCCATCCAGGGCTCTGGAAAAAGCTTGTCCGAACTGCTCCATTGAAAGACAAAGAACTGGACCATCTAGCACAACCTGGGACACAAATCCTGTGCGCTACGTTGCCCAAAGGATTTGTGTCCTATATGCATCCTTGCATGGATTCTCTGCCTTTGGTCTATCGATTCCTGCGACTGTCGGTGCACCACTTGGGTGCTCTGGTCCATGTTGGATGGAGCACAACATTATAAGCTCGCCCAGCTTCCTATGCCTGCGCTCTTGAAGGCTTACTCTACAGAAGATGCTGCAGCAGCCTTTGGGGATTGCAAGGCATCGAGTTTTGTGTATCAAAGATGCGCAGGTTCTAGGACTAGGGGTTGGGGACGCATCGCCAATATGCCCAATACTTTTGCTTTTCCAGTGCTGAGAACTAGCCATTTTTTGCACAAACGAACACTATCCCACCGTACTAGATAAGAAGAAGCACCCTTTTTTGGTATGGTCCCAATGACTGTGCCGCGTCCGTCGTTTGTCACCAAATAACTTGTTGAAGTCTGCAGCTAATCAACACATGTCAACCCATGTCGCTCTTGGGTTGCTCAGGCCGCCGGCAGCTACGATGAGATGAAGAGGCACTTGACTGGTCACCAGGAGGTTGATAGTTGACGACAGTAGATAAGACTTTCAATCATGTCGAGGACGTTTCTCCTCTTTTCTTGATCCACCGCCATATCGAAACGTTTGTTCGATTGGACCTGAATCTGGTCGATCCTTAAAGTTCCAACATCTTCCAGTGGCGCTTGGTGTTGTAGGTCACTCCAAGCACACGCGTTGCCCCCTTTCTCCCTCGACAAAGGCCGGATGTACTTCAATTGGAACATAGGCCCCCGGAATTGACGCGGTCTTTGGACCACCATGGACCGCCAGTATACCCTAGCCTTCAAAGACCATTAAAGCGATGGACAAAGTTTTGTTCTGCAAAAAGTGTTTCCTCGCTGCCCGCCCCACGGCTGCATGGCTTGTTGCTGCTTAAAACGGGGTTCAAAAACTTGCTGCAGATGCCCACAAGATGACATGCAGGTTCAAGAAGATATGTTGGATTGCTCTACATAAGTTATAACCTCCGGGTATGAGGGTAATTATCTTTCAAATATTTGTTTTTCCATTCATAAGGACATATCGTTAAGCCCTGGATACGGTATACGTCTCAACCAATCTTCAGGTTGTTTCTGCCTGTGTCCCGACCATGCACCGCCAGACCAAGCACCTCGGGTGCTGTCCTGGGCGCGTCCCTCCCGGCCGCAGCCTCAGGGAATCCCAGAGAGTGCCACACCGATGCCAACGCCACTTAGAGGAAGAGAAGCAGCTAGTAATTACAAGTGCATCGCTAGTAGTAACAAGTGCCTTACTGGTAGTAACAAGAAGCTATTAATTTGTTTGATCTGAACTGTCTGGGATCCGCCCAGACTCACTCAGACCTGGCCAGGTCAATGCCACGGACGGAAAGCGCATCTTGGTGGCGACGCCAGGCTGCGCAACGCTCGCGCGGAGCGGGAATGTGATGCGGATCGTTTTGGATGGTCCGGGCATTTCACGCGAAGACCGCTGTGGTGGTTGATCTTTCTCTCTGTTATCATGAACCAACACCGAGCTGTTATGACCGTTGTAAGAGTATATATAAGTTTGTTGTGGGGATGGGTGATTCGTTGGTCAGCTGTCAGCTTGCAGTGTGGATTCGCAAACTGAAACAACTGGACCGTTCGTTCATGGAGCAATGGTTTTTGTTTTCATGACTGGAAACCACACGACCACATTGATAAGATCGAGATAGATCGAGTATATTTATATATTTGCAGAGAAATAAGGTAGCATATAGGATTTAGCCAATCAACCAGACCTGCCGCCTCTCTTTATTCGCACTTGGACTTCGCACATGCGCGCCAAGCACCGGCAGGTGTGGCTGAGGCGGCGGAGCCAAAGGCGACATCGACCTTGCTGATGTGTTTTTCCATCACAACGAAGTGTCATTTTGCATCTGAACGATTTGCGTTAAAGCAATTTGCAAACGTAAAGAGTTCTGGTACCCATCTGGTACCCTTCTGACACGAATTCCCACATCTCGAGTTGAAAGCTCCAGAGCGCTCTCCAAGCCTTGGCCAGATGGATCTCATCGCTCTTCCGCGCCTCGCCGGGGCGCGGTGGTTGGGGCCAGTTTTGGGGCGAAGTCGGAGGAAGCAGTTGGGATTTCGGGGACGATCACATGGCGTGTTCTAATGACATGTTGTTGTTGTTGTTGTTGTTGTTTCAAGTCGATGTATTTTGTACAGACTTATTTGCTACATGTTGCTACGTCATCGACATAATTTGTAACTTTGCAGGCCGAATCTGGAAGGAATCGGATGGGACCTGGCTTCTTGGCTGGTTTTGGTGGTGTGGTTTCTCTTCGCTCAGGATGCAAAACAATCCCAAAGTGGACCGCTGGGATGGTCGAGCATGTCCAGTGATTTGGTCCCAGATCGGAGTGATTGTTTTCTTTCTGGGTGGAGATGCAATTTTTACTCAGAGGTCTTGCGTCGGTGTCAGAAATGGCCTTATTTGAGGACTGGACACCATTTCACTGTCCATCACCAATCAGTTTGGTGCCCATTGGTTTCATTTGGTGCCCTCCGCTTGTGCTTAGTGACACAGAGTTCTGTGTTTTCGGAAGATCTCTGATCCTAAATGTTCTCACTCATGCAGGAGATGTGACTTTAGCTCCTTCTACACCAAGCAGCAGAAGCAGATTTCCTGAAAATTCTTAGCAGAGAGGGAGGTGATCCATGGAGCTAAGATAGTCCTATGTTTTTGTGAATGGCAGGACAAACCGAAAGCCACCGTTGATGCTTGAATCCTACAATTAAAAATGCATTGATTAAATTAGTGGCTTGGAATGGTTTGGGTGTCCGGTGTCCTCGATGGTGCAGAGTGTCCATCCATCCAAAAGCCAGGATTCCATGAGTGCGAGAGGAAGAGGCACACGATGCGCAAGACGACTGAAATCAACTTGCACAACTGCAAGTGTAATCGCATTAGCATGTATGAGACTGAAGAAGTTCATTAAACACCTCTATAACTCTTGCATTACGCGGTAAAACGCGTGCTAATTATCAGTGTAAGCATAACTTCTAAGACCTCAATGTGGACGTGGCCACTCGAGACCTCTCTGATCGGGTTCATTGATTCTTCAGTCCCCGTGTCATAGACTCTAGGACTCTAAGTAGCTTCTTGCTCCTAGTAGCAATGCCAGGAGCCCCTAGTAGCGTCCTTGCTCCTAGTAGTAAGGCCATGAGCCCCTACTAGCTATTTCAACCCTCCGAAGCAATCCCAAAGTACTCAAGGTCCGAAAACTTGTGAACATCTATGAGTACAGTACATTGCATTATTGGTTCCTGTCGCACCGACCGCACTGACCGCGCGACCGCCGGGCAAGCAAGCTTTCTCATTGGCCCCTATGTGGCAGAAATAGGACGAGTGCCAGGGGCAAATAGCCAGTATCAACAAGGTTTGATGGGATTCTGGCATGCCCCCAAAACATATTCTTATGTTCTCAGGGCACAGAAGTGCGCGACAAGTCCTGATGTTAGTATCCAATCTATTTGAGCCATGCGACAAGTCCAGTGTGCACGGTGTGAATTCACCCCAGACGTCTCAGACATGTCTCAACGTAAGGTGTGAAGCTTAGGCTTGGCCATTGAGGGCTGGAAGGCCATGCGGTCACATACCCGAGGCATAGCTGTTTGAACTGTCCAAAGGAGAGAGTGGTTCATGTTGTTCGTTTCTGAAAGCGCCATTTTCCGGACCATTTCACTGTGACCCGCACAGTTCCAGCGCCACTGCCATGGCAAAGTCCCATGTGCTACTCTGCGCCACAGTGGTGGTTGTGCTTTGGCTGCTGCAGGCAATCGTGAACCAGGGGTGAGTGTGGCATCAAGCAATTAAAGTCTCTTCTCATCGAATTTATCCTCCAACACAGAAGTAGTCACAAGTGGAACGACTAAAGAATGCTACCTTCACAGATGCAGGGAACTACGTTTGAACGTTTTGCCTTCGGGTTGCTGGGAGGCCCGCCTGCCGCCTGCTTTCGGAAAGCGCGTGCGCTTGCCGCGGCGTTCCAAGGACAACCCTCGCACCTTGGCGGTGAGTCCTCTTGAGGAGGGTAATGAGGGTGTCTCTTTTGGAGGTGAATGCGTACGTGGTAAAGTGCTTGAGTGGGTTAAGTCTACAGCCCCTGCGATTTGTTTGGGAAACAAAGGACAAAGGCCTTTTTCAGACAAACCTTGAACAACGACACCCCAACGCCGCTTGAGCAACGAACTCGGAAAGTGGAGTTCATTGTAGCTGATGGGTGTGGTCAGCAGTTGGAAGGCTTGGCCATTGTGTTTGGACACGCAGATCCTCAGATCTCTATTGAGATGTGGACGGGTTGACAATATGATGTCGAAAGCTGGACACCTGGCAATTCTCCAACAGAACCTTTCACAAGCTCCACGGAAGACATGGTGCCCAAACGGTGATCATTCGCACTTTCTCCCAGACCCAAAAGGTGAAAAACCTGTGATCTTAGCAATGGCCTCCAACCCAGTAGCGTCCTTGCTCCTAGTAGCGATGCCCTTTGTTCCTAGTAGCTTCTTGCTCCTAGTAGTAAGGCCAGGAGCCCCTAGTAGCGTCCGATCGCTCCTAGTAGCGATGCCAGGAGCCCCTAGTAGCGATGGTTTCTAGCCTAATGGCGGTTTATCATTGCTTTCGTCCCAAAACAGTGGTTGCTTTGGCCGGGTGACTTTCTCCAGGTGCCCAGAAGCGCGGCGCCAGTCTGTTGAGCGAAGACGACTTGGAGAGGTCCAGGCGAGCGACTTCGCAGCGCTTGTGGAAGCGGTGAGTTGCTAAAGCCACCAACCAAAAAGCTTCAGATGTCATCAGATTTTGCTTGGAAGCCACTAAATCTCCATGTTTGGACATGTGCGAACCCCTGAAATTTGGAGAATTTGAACGCCACCAAGTCTGGAAAGGGGCGGGCGGCTTGGGCTTGTTGGAGGCAGTGGATGACCATTGGGCAACTCCGAAATGAAAACCATTGGGAGAACACTAGGGCAAGTAAATTAAATATAAACCTAAAAGTATAACAACTGCACGTTTCCTTGAAAAAGTGCTGTTTTAATCGATGGAACGCAGCCCTCCGTGTTTGGGTGATCATTTACATGTCTTTGGAATGCTAAATAGTTGGCTTTAACTATTTGACTATATCTTAACATCAGGCCTTTGGAGGCCATCGCTACTAGGAGCAAGGACGCTACTAGGGGCGCTCGTGGCCTTACGACTAGGAGCACGAAGCTACTAGGGGCAAAGGGCATCGCTACTAGGAGCAAGGACGCTACTAGGGGCTCCTGGCCTTACAACTAGGAGCAAGGACGCTACTAGGAGCAAAGGGCATCGCTACTAGGAGCACGAAGCTATCGGAATCAGGTCCTCAGGTCTCAACACAAGGCCTCCGATTTCAAAATGGCAGGAGTTGGAGGCAACCTCCGCGGAAGTGGCTGCGTATCCCCAAGTCAGGTGAAGGCCGAGACGGCTTCGGTGGAAGGATTCGCTAGGCGGCCGAGGATTCCAAGATACAATAGACATGTTTGCGCTCAGTCCACTCATGTCCACTCTCATCTTTGTTCAAGAGTTCAAAATTACTGTTAGTTGCTTTTGTCCAAATCCGTTCTGCATTCTTCGGTTGTATACCTTTGAAGTTTGGGCACTAGGGCCTTCAATGGTCCAAGGGAACCCCACAGCACTTGAGGCAAAGAATTTCCCGAGAGTGTTTCCAATTATCGACCCTTAGCAGCCTTGGCAAGGTCATCGGAAAGTAGATGAACACCCAGTCGCAGGATGCCTTGCCCAAAATGTTGTTTCAACATGTGTGTTGATTTATAGTGACCTAATTGGCGGTTCAGGTTCGGGCGTTGAATCCACAAGCATGTTGTTTTCAATGACAAGCCCCTCAGTTGAATGAACACCACTTGTCTGCACTCATCCAACCAGACTCCAACTTGGGTGGATGTGGTGTTTTCTTTCAATAGCGACGGCCTCCAACCTAGAAGCCTTTGCTTAATGGTGCCATCAGCTTCAGTCCAACCCCCTCGCGCTTTGGCGGTCCCGTCGCCCAAGTCCGCCCCGTGTGTCCGGATGACCGCCGTCCAGCGGCGCAGGTTGCTGCGATTTCCGCGTGAAGCGTGACTGGCGCTGGCGGCAGATGATCGAAGAACCGCATCCCGGACACGCAAAGCGAGAATTGCCCACCATTTGTTTTTTTGGGGGAAGAGAATGGCCATTTGTTTTGGGGGTGTTCACAAAGAGAAACATTTTTTCAATATGCGTTTTGGAATTGCTATGTGTGTGTGTGTTTTTTCCAAAACAAACACGATAATTATGTACATCGAAGCATAACTCTTTAAGAAATACATGTATAATCATGTACAGCTCTTTAACATCACCTGAATCCTTCATATCATGTGCAATTCTTCGTCGGCTTGGAGATGTGAGACCGTGTGTGACATGGCTCGTCATCGCTCAGTTCCGCTAGTAGTCGCCTCGGGAACCACGGGGGCAGGAACATGGCTCCTGCTGCATTATATGATTTTTTGGACTCTAAGAATTTTATAGATTACTGAGTACGGAGTACTTTGGTTTGAGGTGAGATCTTTTTTTTTGCAGACGCCATAGTTGGAGTCATGTTTCTATTGAAAATGTCACTTGTAAGGACCTTCGGATGGTTCCCATGCTGCCTTCGGATGTCCGTGGAGGCCCTCGACCAAGGCTGGGCGTCTATGAGCATTGCAACGCCACCGGGCGGCCGCGCTTCCATGCGGTCTTCGCTTCGGCGCCTGGCAAGGAGGTGAAGGGGATAGGGTCGATGAAGCGGATGGAGTTGAGGAGTTGGATGGTGCTTGGAGGCAGTAGCATTCCCTGACCCCCAATAGTTCGCTTCGAACCGGAACCATCGTTGTGATAGAGGTGATATCCACAATTGCATGAGACATGAAATTGCCTACTGCTGATGAGATGGTGTCTGGACAAGTGACCAGTTCGCTCGATCAAGGACAGTACTTTGGGCGAAAGTGGGTAGAAAGGTATGAGCGTCTTCCTTCTGCAAATTCTTTTCGTCGATCCTCATGCTCTACAAATCTATCTAAACCTTTTATAACACTACTTCCCACCAAGAGAGAGAGAGAGAGAGAGACTGAGAGAGAGACTGAACCCACAACAAACGCCACCCTTCCATAGAATTACAGACCTCCCGTCTTTACAGACGTTACCACCCAAACAGCAAATGCTCGTTTTTTTCAAGCAGAAATCCACCGTAGCACTGTGTTGGTTTTGGGCCACTCCTCCCTTCCTGCCCCAGCTCCACAGCGCCGCGTCCCAGCGCGGAGGAGTTCCTCGGGTGCTTCTTCACACCCATGGACGCCGCAGCCGCCTGGGATGCTCGCGCGCGGCGCGAGGGCTGGAGGGTGCTGAACTATCCCAGCGGCGGGCAGGAGGACCCGGGGGGGCCTGTTGGGAAGTTGGAGTTGGCTTTCATGAATCATGATGAATCCTCCCTTTGCTTCAGTCTTTGTACAAGCCAAAGCACCCCTTCTTGCTTGGCAGCGAATTCGCAGGAGGCTGAGACTTGGTTGGGGCCTCAAAGTTGGTTGGAGCACTCCGATGACGGCGGTTGAGTTTTGCCGGACTTGGGCAGAAGCCCGGGCCTCTTTTGAGCGTGTTGTTTTGATAGAACTTGTGGAATTACTCAAGCACACACGCAGAGAAATATACTCAGCGCCTTTGGCATCGGGAGATGAACCGGCAGACCCCGAAGGTAGCCCAGAAATGATGGAGCCCAACGGAAAAGGTTTGATTCGTTGTCATCGTCAAGTTCAGATTCCTCTTCATCTCCATCCAAAAGGAACACTTCTGTGCAAAAAGTGGCTGCTGAAGCTGTTGCAAGTATGTACCCCTTGGTGATTGGCTTGTGTGAACGTAGCCGCAAAGAATTGCAGGAAATGCACGTTCGGTTTGCTGCGGAGTCCAGTTCGGAACACATAGGCAGATCTCACTCTTCGGCGCATGATCTCACTCTTCCGACGGACAGAACAGATTTGCTCTGATAGATTGCTGCAGTAGGAGCAATTACGATTAATCGTCGAAGATTCACACGCTCACGACCCTTTTGTGTTGTACTTACGTGGTGTTGGGTTGCACTTAAGCTCAAGGTGCCATCCTCAGTCCAAGTGGTTTGTGAGACAAGTGAGACAGGGTTAGGCCCATTGCCGAGGCTGCAAGACAAGTTCACTTATTGGAGGTCCAAAGGCTTCTCGGATGCGAATTGATACTGGGATCATTGCTGGCCGGTCTTCGTCAACGAGGTTTCGATCCGATTGTCGTCCAATCAAATTTAGAGCTCTCAGGAATACTGTAAGGTCCATTGCTGTATAGTTTCTGCTTTTTGTTTGCAGTCTCCATCATTTGTTTGCACCGGTTTGCGCGGTTTGCAGTTTTTTGCTCCAGAACAGACAGGCTTTGTTATTGGACATTTGCCCATCGAGGCTTTCCCTATCCTCCCACCGATCGCGAGTGGAGAACCTCAGCTGCACTTGCTGCACTTCAGGTAAAATGCAACGGCGAGGCTGAACAACGGAAAATGTGGGTGATCCAAATTGTTATATGTTCCAAGACCGGGACACTTCTAGCTGCCAGCATGAAGTAGGTTGCTGCCCCTTCAATGAATCCATCAGCCCCTCAGAACCATCAGTCTGAATGGTGTTGACATGCCCACTTAGCATACCCCAAAGAGCGGTCGATTCTCTCGCGGCATAAACATCCTGGTTTGAGAAGACTCGTTCCTCCAACCAGCTCCATGATGCTTCCTGCGTCGCCATTCCGTTTGACAGCCTTGTGTGGTGTTGAGGAGAAGGGCAGTTGAAAGACTTGGAGAAGGTGGACATCGACAGTCTGTGGAGGTGCAAAACATCCTGACAAAAGATGTGAAGAGAAGCCGTCCTAGTGCCCGGCCACAAGTTACAAAAAACACACTATAGAAACAGAGCGACCCACTGGAAAACGGCAAAATGAAGACAACTAACCTAATAGCGATGGCCTCCAACCTAATAGCGTGGAATAGCATGGAATGGCCAGCAGGGGTCGTCCGATTTCAACGCAACGTTGTCAGCTCCTCGGTTCTTCCCACGTCACAGGTCTCATCGGTCTTTTTGTTCGACACAGAGCAAGTGCCAGGTCTAGAGATTGCCTTGAGGTGGGGAACTTCCAAGGAAGTCCAGGAGAAACTTGGCAAACACATCGGATTCGGAGTTATTTGCCGTGTTTCGGGGGATATGTTTGTTCTCTCTCTGAGCGGCTGGCATGATTTCTGAGTGGTGTAGTTTAGGCTAGCAGCGGCTAGCACCAGAATCACAAGTGTCCGGTTTGTCCAAGGTGTTGGGACACCGGGAGACATGAAACCGGGAGGATTTCATGGTTGACTTCGAGAAAGCTTAAAGTTGAGTTCCAAGTAGAGTTGTTTCATGCCTTTTCAATAGATGCCGACCGATGCGCACTGACAAAATGGTATTTGGCTTCTCCTCAAGCGCTCATTCAAGTTCCGGACGTGGCAAACATGGGATTCTGTGAAGATTCTTCGGTCGCGGACCTCGTCCGGATGTAGCAGATGCAACCGATGTAGGTTTAAGCGATATCTGTGAAGCTGATTGAGCTGGAGTCTGAAAGACCGCGACACTCAGGAGTGTGTTTGTCAACAGACTCGAGTGGCCGGCCGAAGCCGGACTCGTGCCGGACCGATAGGACACCAGTCTTGAGGTCTTCTCATCTGAAAGGAGATCCTGAAAGTTAACCACACTCCGACTGACTAACATGGAACTGGAAAGACTAGTTACTAGTTTCATTTACCTGGGTCTTCTTGAGTGTGCCCTTTTTCAGACCCTTAGCAAATAAAGACCTCTAAGGTCAGAGGTCCACAATTTTTGTCCAGGGGCTGATCTTGGATTTTGCATGGATTCAATGTTCTTTACACATATGAGTGATGGATGTCACCAAGTTACTATGAAACCTCTACCGGTCTTTGCATCCCCGCTTCCTGCCAGGCTGTGCTGAGCTCAGGTAGCATTTAAGATTCATTGCAAACATGGCCAGGGTACATGGGGTGATTGGCAGCCAACCCCTACTAACATCACTAAAGTTGCTCAAGACGCAAGCCTGGGGTTTACTTTTAACTTCTGGCACCCTGCGCATGGCCATGGAGATGGCATGATGACTATCAGGGCCACCAGGCCCAAGGGCAGTGATTCAAACATGTTTTTTCTGCAGTGCAGTCGAGGCATTCTGTCTTTGAAACGCATCTACGAAAGGAATTCAAAAAGTAGCCTTGTGATTCACTATCGATGCATAGAAGTTATATTGGAAGCGATCAAAAAAAAGATCCTTGAGAATCTTGAGACTTCCTTTGGAGGTTGCATTTTGCTGGCCACTTTGTCTTTGTCTTCCTCTTCAAGGCTTGCCCGGCAGAGTTAAAGCACTTGCTGAATGCATGCCAACATGCATTTTTGCATGCACGCAAGTCAAAGGACTGCTGTCCTTTTAGAAAACTATACGGCCTTTTTCTATAGCCATTTTCCCTCACTTGGAGTGATTGCAGTGCCCACCTGCAGCGGATAAGCATGGCGGACAAACAGTTGGACGCCCCGGTAGAGTCTCTAGCTCAGATGTTGGAATCCAACAAGTACATCCGAAGAAGACTCCGTGACAATGGTGGTTCTTTGGTCAAGTGGCCCTCACCTGAACTAACTGGGAGACCCACTATGCAAGGGATAGCTCTGAACGTTCACGCACTCCAGATTGTGGCAGCTTTCTGGTGTCCACCGCAGAGGAAAGCGAAAAGCCCTGATGTACAAATGTTGAAGAGGGAGGCCAGGGTTTAAGGGATCCTTTTTTTGGTGGTAGCTAGCTGTGTAATTTTGTAATGGAAACGCAACCAGTCAACTATGTAGAGGAGCAAGTTGACTGTCAGGACTTGGTCTAATATATGTTTCCAACAAATATATAAGTAACAGCTGTTGTTTTTCTGCAAAACCTATATTTCCTTCTTAAAACCTGCTGTCTGGATGTACCAACCAATTAGATAATTCACGCTGCAAAGGAAACAGGAGTCTCCTCCTCAAATTCAAAACAGCATTTTAACTCTGCCCCAGGTAGCAGCACTTCGAGCTGAGTGCCAAATTCCTTCCAACCCAGCCACACTGCATGCGGATGCTTGGGGGTTGAAGAAGCTGTTCTCTTACGGATGCAGGAAGAGTGGAGCTGACAAGGACCTTGCCTCTAGCCCCAAACGTCGTGACCCTTAGCCTGTTGATTTGTAATGTTTTGCTGATGGCAAGAGTGATTGCACCTTATCCTGGCTCAAAAACCTTTCCCTGAATGTAAACTCCACTGCAAAAATAATTTTTCATTTCATATTAGACCCTTGTGCCCCACATATTCACCTAAGGACGTGGGAGTCAACATCTTTTACGAGGAGCTCTTTCGCTGGTGGAATGTGAGGCTTAAGCCGGGCCAAATTGTCGAGGTCATTGAAGATAGTGACGATGATGAATCCGATTTCACAGAGTTTATGATCGTTGTCAAGTCAGACCCATACGAGAGCTTAAGCAGTCCGCCTGCCAAGGCTGGAAACGCTGTGCATAAAGAGCAGGTCACTTTATTCTTCATGTTTATATCAGTTTCTAAAGAGTTGCCTCTAGTGTGCTATGCAAATATCATATGTGGCATTTTTGACCGCCTACCCCAGGTCAAGAAAAGTGGGGGTGCAGGGGTGGCAGCGCCGGTTGAGGAGACCAAGGGTTCAATGGACACTCCTGCTATGTCTGCTGAGAAGGCTTCGTCGTTGTAGGCATCGCTTGCTGAGAAAACACCCACTGAGAAGCCTTCTTTGTCGGAGGCGTTGGTTGCTGAGAAACCGCCTGAGATGGCTTCAGTGGAGGTGTTAGATGCTGAGCGCACACCAGATCAGCCTTTCAAAGATGACAAGCCACTGAAAGGCTTCCAAGAGTACTCGGATGCGGAGATTGCTGCAAGAATGAACAAGGTGCAGTACCTTGGTGATTGCTTTTGAAGCTTTGATTTTTTGTGTGGAGCAGTTTCCTTCCAAGAATTGACCGGGTAAAGGCAACACCAAAGTTTTTATTGCTGCAAGCTAGGTTGGCGCTTGCAAGCAGGCTTGCTTGCAAAGCAGCTCCCGACAATGCGGAGACACAGCTGCTGGAAAGTCCTCTTGCTGAGGCAGTGGCGCGTTCTCTCACGCCCATCGACCTTGATCCAGAAGTCGGCGGTGGCGACTTTGACTTGCGGAGATCTTTGCAACTGGAGTTTGGGGAAGCGGAGCTTGGATCTTCAGACCCTTATGGCCCTTTGGTTGTGAAAATTAAGGAAGTCTTCAACAGTGTTTTTTGTGTAATGGTTATGCGAATGTACTGTGTTGCAGAGCTAGCCAGTTGAAACGAAGTCTGAATAGCCAGGACTTGGACCTTTTGATCCGTCATGGACTGACTCCCAGATTCCGGAAGAAGAGGAGATACCTGAAAAGCCAGCCCAATCTTCGGAGCTGATAGAAGCGCCAGAGGACTCCATGGAAGGGACTTCTGGTGAGAAGTCCATGGCAGTGCCAGAGGATTCCATGGAAGTGACTTCTATTGGTGGTGGGAAGTGCGTGGAAGAGCATTTGGAAGGGACTTCTGGTGGGAAGCCCATGGAAGTGCCAATGGATTCCATTTCTGGTGTACCTGCCAACCCCCAAAAATTGGAGCCTTTGCCGGTGGAGGGTGTCTTGCCTGATGGAGCGCTTCCAGTGCCTCCTGCATCAGAAATGATGAATGGTCTTGCAGATCCTCCTGCCAAGGTAGAGCCACCCCTTGAGAATGGAGAAGAAGAAGTGCCAAAGAAATCTGATGCGCAGGTAAAAGAAGAGGAACCTGCTTTTGTCACTCGGAAAAGCCAATGGGCAGGAAAGCCTCCAAAGGCAAAGGCCAAAGCCAAGGCCAAGGCCAAAGGAAAAGCTGCTCCTAAAGGCAGGCCCAGAGGCACTGGAGGCAGAGGGCGTGGTCGTGGCAAGAAGCTTGATAGCGTGGTGAACTTGCTCTCTGATGAGGAGGGGGAGGTTAAGATGGAGGTTGAAGAGGGTGATGAAGCAGAGGCGAAGAAGAAGAAGGCTCCCAGGAAGCGTGCTCCTGCCAAGCGCAAGGCTGCTGAGAAGCCTGCTGATACCAATGAGGAGGAGCCAAGCGGGATGGAGGAACAAAGTCAAAATGCTGAGGAAATTGTTTGGAAACCTGTTTCGCAAGAGGGCATCAAAGCATGGGAGGGGAAATGGGTTTGCCAGGAGCCTGCCCAGGATGCAACGCGGAGTGCCTCCAAGAAGAACAAGTTGGATGAGAATGGTGAGCAGCGGAAGTCTCCTTTGAAGTCCTTTGCACGCCGCCAGTGCCCAAAGTCTTCACCAGCAAGGGAGAGATGGCTTGTGGTGCGGGAATTCTTTCGCATGGAGATCAAACCTAGGATCGTACCTTGTGGGGAATCCACTGCTGCTTGGGAGGTCCGGTGTCTATAACAGTTTCTTTTGGTTAAATCAAAACATTCAACACCCTTTCAAACCGACCATGAACTTTAAATTCAATATTTTCAGCCACCATGTCTTGGACCCATCCCAGGTGTATTGGTGGGACTGGTGCGCCGAGGCTTTGAACAAGCACAAATACAGCAAGCGCAAGCAGAGTGCAGCGGACACGGATGCATTGTTGGATCAGTTCAAGGGTCTGCTTGGCCGTGAAGTGAATGACTTTTTGGAGGAGTGGGGTATGGACTTGGTCACTGAGCCTGCGTCGCCGTCGCCCATGTAGGATTGTAGTTCCAATTTGTAGGTTTTGTTGATACTCTGGTCACTGTTGTGAACTTAATTTTTATGTGGTAAACTTTTGCAACAGTCACTAAAGCAAACTGGCTGGTTTCCTAACTCAATGTGCACAGAGTGGAAGGATCAACTACTTTAGTTTAATTCAGGACTTGTTGCAATAACAGCAAGTCCTGGCAACGTCGCTCCAAGTCGGATATATTCCGTGCTGCCATTTTGGGTGTGTTTTTTGACATGCCTAAGGCATCAACAATTGTCGGAAATTCGTGCCTAGCATCACTAATCAGTGATTGCACAAACAAAGCCAGGGGAGGAGAACAATGTTGGCTAGCGCGCTAACCCACAAGATTAGCAGGATTCCTCTTTGTGTGTGAATCAAACAAGCTTATTTGAGAACAACCGCTTTCAACACACAATTAGGAGCCCATATCTTTTGCAATCAGCCTAGGCATAGTCCGTAATTTTCCTGAACCTCGTCAATACCCTCCCTGCCTTTTGGCGCTCGATGCCAAAGCCAGGCCATGAGCTTGTATGGCCTTCGAAGAGGCTGTATCAACCTTGCGAAGTTTGGAGTGGTGGAAGGGCTATCTAGTAAGCCTGGCTTGTTGACCTTCAGAAGACTAGTTGAACATTGTTTCAAGTCTTGCATTTCATTTGAGGGTGGTCGGAAGAGTCTTACACAAAGAGGGGTCTGTGCTTTATATGCATCATGCATGCTGATTTTTGAGGATAGCAAAAAAGGCATGCGCATGCCAAACCAACCATAGCATAGGGGTGTGTGACATATTATAAATTTGCTAGATGCTTGAACAGCACCAGGCAAATCAACAAAGTTTTTTCAGGTCTGATGCTGACTCAGTCGGTGGGTTTATAGCCGTTTGCAAGCCATGACGCCTGCCCAAATCGATTGTTTCATCAAGAGACTCATTGCGCTGAAGACTCCAAAGGCAGCTCAGCAGAAAGTATCCACTGTCTCCACCAGTCCTTGGGTAGAACGGCAACAAGGTCAGGATGTTCCACTTGGTTTCCTGTTTCTTGGGTTGTCTACGAACCATGGCCTGACAAAAAAAATACCTTCTGCAATTGAGGTTGTTGTTCTACTGGTTCTGCTGACCTCCTGGCTTGAGCTTCCACGAGAAGAAGAACCATTCCAGGTATTGGAATTTTTTGCAGGTGTGGGTCGTATCGCGGCTATGGCAAAATATACTGGTCTTAGAAGTGCTGCAGTGGATCTTGAATATGGAAAAGACCGGGGAAAACAAAGGGGCTCAAGGCTTCCCATGGATCTAAACAGCAGCGCAGGTCTGATGCTACTAGATTGCAAGCTACTTGTTTTCTTTGTGTCTGCAGTGAGCCAATCAGACTCAGTTTCTAGAACTGTTGATGCTGTTTAATTGTGTCTTCTGTTTGCACGCTGAGTCTTGGTATCCACCTGATCTTGCGCAGCGAGTGGGAGAAACTGGCTGCCTTCTTTGCGGTTGTATGCAGCAGCATGGTGCCGGTAAACAGGGGAAGCACCATGAGATCGATATTGGTTCCATTGGGCAATGAAGACTTTCCCTCAGTTAGAAGGTCTAACAAGCTCACAAGCAGGATACGGGAGAGTTGCATGTGGAATGTATATTTGTGCACATGAGCTTGAAACATCCGCAAGTGGTCCAGGACAGTACTCCTCATGTGGCTGGTCATTGTGGCTGGGGGGAACCTTCTTTATGGAGAATCCTTTGAATAGTTTGGTGGCACTACATCCTCGGTATATTTGGTTTGCGGAACATCTACTTGCCCTGGGAATTCCAGATCCTTAGCTGGTTTCAAATCTTTGACCAATTAGAGAACAAGTCTATACCATATGTAATACATGCATGGAATCTGCACCCCTGGACTTGGCCCTGGAACTAAGACTTACAAAGTGGCATTTTGGATGAGAAAATATTCATCTATGTCATGGAAGAGGACTTGGGTATGGAGCACCACAAACAGGATTGCTTCGTTGGACCTTGGACCATTGACGGAAACGGAGAAAGAAAGCTCTGAAAAAACGACTACAACATACAGGGACCGTAGAGGCAAGAAACGATTCAAGGGGAATGCCAACCTGAAGCGAAGTCAGTACCTTTGATTTCAACAAGTATCTTTGATGTTGGTTGTTATTAATATTCTTTTATTGTGGTCTGGGTGTGTGAACATGAAGGTTGTGAGTTTTGAGCTTCATGTGTGATTAGGCAGTATACTTATAGATTTGCTGCGAAGTTGGTCAAACTTGTGACCAAGCTTCGCAAAGATCCTCCACGCCAATTTCCTGTCCAGGTGCTGGGCCGGACTGTTTCAAGTATATGTGAAAAGCTAGTAGCATATGCACTGTGAATGATGGGTGGTCAGTTTGGGGTCTTCAACACTTGTCTAAGGTGCCGTCTACATCAAAGCTAGCCCTTTTCCGTGAAATGACCTGGTGTGCTGAGTCTAGTGCGTGGGATGAAGAAGCTGACTTGAGAGATGCTGTGCGATATGCACGCGGTTCCCGATTGCTACAGATACCAAATGGCTTTCGAGATGTGCTACCCATTAGGCTGTGACATTAGCACATCCTTTTGCTGCATGGCTGAGCCACTGCCAATCCGTAATTCGATATGACACATGCACCAAGGCTCCATTCTGTGCACTCTAGAAGTGTGACACGAGGACTCTGGACAAATCATGAATAAATTGTTTGACCTGGTTCTGAGGCCCTCAAAAGCTGTTTGTGTTTCGGATCCATGAACTAATGAAAGCCTATAATGAACGACGGTGCACCAAGGCCTTGTTGTGTTGGTTGCTCTTTAATTAGGGCGGGATTTGACAATTGCTGTGTAAAATGTTCACATTGTGTATGAAACGTCAAGTGGCATATGCTGAGCATGTGTGTCCAGTATCATGACTCCAACTGGCATATGCAGAGGATATCATAAATATGTCAAAATATATTCATGGCATATGCAAACACAATGTTGTACAAAAAACACAAAATCGTAGGGGCGGTTTTACCAGGTCAAGGGGCGGTTTTACCAGGTCAAGGGGCGGTTTTACCCGGCCTCTGTTTTCTGAAATGGTTCAGCAATGTGCATTGCATGTGAAATGTACACTTCATTCACATGGCACATGAAGTGTATATAATGTCTGCCGTGGCCTTTTGTGTACAGGCGCAGCGATCTCAGCTCCAGGGTGCTGGGCGCTAATGTCAAGGGATCTTGTATCTCGTGAGTTTTCTAGTGGTGCCTTACAACTTGGTATTTCGTTAGTCAAGGAGGAAGTTGGCATGGATCCTTTGGATGACAAAACGAACGACGAGTTGTTGAAAGAGCTTAAGGAATTGGAAGAGGCCAGGTCCAGGTTTCAGGTGAGAGACTGTGCTTTGCTTGGATAACGACTGTTGTCAAAAAAAAACGCAAGTGATTCATGACTAGGTACGGGCAGCCAGACCTGTGCCTACACCAGCTCGTGCGCTGGTTTGCGCAAATGGTGAGTCTCAGTCTGCAGGACCGGAGGAAGAGACTGTGCCGGCTGATCTTGATCTGCCGGGTGGTATGGAGGATACAGTTGTTGATGGATCACCTGTTGATGGATCACCTGCGGATGGAGATACAGTCGTTGATGATGGATATGCTGTTTCTTGTATTTCATTTATAACTACTGGTGCTTTTTAAAATGAACATTCAATGTGTTGGAAAAAGCCACACTCAATGTTTAAGGTTTATGAAGAAGAAACTCATGATACAATGGAAGATCCCATGGATGCTGCTTTCGATCGCTATGCTGCACGTCAGAAAGGGAGGTGTTGCATGTATATATGTTGCAATGTCAACCTGTTATACGTCTTGATTGATCCATGGAGTTGTCATCTATATATGGATTATCAAAGAGTGTGGGTTATAGCTTGAATCTGTTAGGGGTTATACTGGGTATGCTTGTGAGGTGACTGAACTACGCAAGAACATGAAGGATGATGAGATGATGTCGTTCATCGACTCGCTCGGCGCGGAGAAGACTCCTGACGGGTTTACCAATGAGGCTTTGTGATTTGTGTGTGTGGACACCATGCATGCACGTTTGTTGTGGTGTGTGTGTGTTGAGCAAATGTGTTTGCGTAATACATATGATAGCCGTTCAACTGAATATCCATGCAGGCGGGAGGTGATGGTGCTGAACGAACACACAGTCCCGAACCACCTTGTGCCAAAGAGCAATCCAGCAAGAAAGTCCCGTGTCTTCTCATCCTGGGTTTGTGTTGTTTGCGCAAATGCATGCATTCATGCAGACAAAACATGAATCATATGCACCTTTTGTACCCTAAGGCTGGGGATGCAACCCCCTTGAGTGCAACCGATGAAAGAAAAATGCGACGCATTATGACTCCGAGGGCGGATGGGTCTCTTTTGGTTCCACCAGAGATTTGGAAACAATGGAAAGATCTACGTGAAGGGGGTCGTGAGGCAGTAACAAAACTTTGGAATCAAAGTGGAAAAGACAAGGACCCTTAACACCACTTGTCTTTGTCCATGACATGTGGTGTTCCCATGTATGTTCACTTGTGCATTCCCCCTAGTCTTCAGGACAACTTCCTCAGGAGGTGCAAGAAGAAGGTGGAGTCAATCCAAGAGAAAGATTTGTGGGTTGAGGGTGCCTTTATGTCCGAACAAGATATGAAAGATGAGAAGTTTCCAGAGCATCTAAGCTCAACCCAGAAACATTGACAATGATTTTGTTTGTAAATGATACAACTCTCTGTCCCAGGTCGCGCATCAATGCAATCAAGCGTGAATGTGCTTCGGAGAAAGGCTTGATCCGGTGCCCAGTCTGCAGCCACGTTGCACAATGTAAGCCTTGCGCAGGGTTCAATGCCCTGTGGTCCTGGTCTGAGGCGTGATAAGTATGAAAAGCACGTCAAGCTCTACTGGGTGGAGAAACACATGCAAGGCAAGACCTTGACCCTTGGGAGTCAATATATCAAGTGAACGAAAGGGAAATTTGTTTTGTAATGTCCAAACATATCTGTGATAAAGTCAAAGCAATAGAACTTTTGAACCCTCTTTAGTTTTGTTTTATAGCCGGCAATTGAGGAAGCGTAAACGTCAAGTGCTTGAAGAAGAGGAATCCATGGATGAAGATGAGTTTGATAAGCTGAAGAAGGAGGAGGACCAGGATCTCTTGCCTTCGAAGCTAAGCCTTCCTGAAGATACTACAGGTACTTTTGGGGGGGCATGAGTACAACATGCTAAGCGTGAGTTTCTATTTAATACACATGTGCTTGCCACTTTGGCCAGACGCGACCATCGTCATCGAAGCTGATGGAATGGAATGCCAGAAAAATTCCCTCAAAGCGCTGAACTTTCCAGTTATGGACGATGAGGATGCGTTGGCTTCAAGTTATATCCCTCGGGTATTGGCATGTTTGTCCAAGTGGAGTGTTAAGCTTCAAGATTTGGTGGAGATCTTTGCTGCCATGGAATCCGTTCCAGAAAATATGACAATGTAACTTAGAGAAAGCAGTGCGGATTCTTCAGGTTTTCGGTGCCAACTGGACTTGAAGGGGTTTTTTACTTTGGGCTGAGGTTGTATCAACGTGCCTCGGAGATTGACAAGAACTTCCAAACGATCACGGACGATATCACAAAGCTCAACACACAGGGCATCGTTGATGGCTACAAAAGAACGTGCCTCAACCAAGTACATAACATGCAAGAATGCATGCGCTGACGGTCTTTGGTACTGTGTACGCTTTAAAGAAAACCATTCTGAGCATATCATCGCTTGTGCCTGCTGCCCGTGTTGAGGCATCAAGACCAGCTTGCCAAGGAGTTTGTAAGGGCCCGCAAGGAGTGCCTTGGCATCCAGTGTGGGTGTTGTAAATGGGTGGGTTGAAGCTTTGTTTTGTTTGCTGACTGGTTTCTCATGGTGCCCCCAAATCAGCTAAGGGCATGAGGTAGATGTCATAGAAGAACAACATGTCTTAAGTTGTAAAACTCCTCAATGGTTTCATGTGTGTGATGGACAACGTTGGATCTCTTAACCTATGACTGTCCGTAAAAGGCGTGCAAGTGATAACCCCAAGAGGAACCAAAGCCAAAGAACCTCACTTTATATAGTGTGTTCGCTGTGTCTATTTATAATACAATGAACTATCATCAACATTTTAAAGTGATCAATCCCCCTCAACACGCTTTGCCTCTGCCACGATGGTGGAACATGTGCCCAGCATGAAATGGCAAACATGACTAGCACCACTTTTGTCCTGAAACGAAGCTTGAGTCCAAACAGGTTGCCAACCCCAGGGATGTTCTTGGAGTAGGTAAAAAACATGGCTTGGTGGCATAGTTTTGATTGGTGAAAATGATAAATGATTCCGACTGACTCAGAAATATAACGTGAAGGTGGTACAGCACTGAAGTGTCATATCTTTGTGATGGGGATATATGTTCCACTGCCATGGAATGGGCTTATAGCGACGTGGTATTGTTTGTTGATGCCCAAAGAAAGCATGCGTCCATGGAAACATTGAATGATACGTTGCAGCCTTCAGAGACTTATATAACATCTACTTCGCTCTCATCATATGCTGGAAACTGTTTTTGATATCCAAGTTTCACCAACTCGTTGGTCGCTGCAATGCACCCAATTCCAGGGAAGAATGAGTCTTGAACTGTAGAACCATCAGGGTCCAGTATGTGTATAGTATAACATATTGGAGGGAAAACACACAAACAAAGGAATGTTGGATTAGCTCATGCAGTCAGAGTGGCGCTGTTCTTCATGGGGGTTGGACAAATATATCAGAAGTTGTGTCAAATCTTAGAGAACGGATCACTGTTCCTGTACCCTTGGCTTGCTGTCACCCAATGCCAATGTCACCCCTTTGCTGCCACAGCTCTGCAGCTGATCTCAGGTGTGCGGAAGCTCTCAGCCTCGTCACGCGCGCGCAGTTGGGCACTTGAAGGAGAAACAAACTTGTGCCCAAGACATGTGTTTTTGTTAATGAGGCCCTTTGTCAACCACCTCAAAGCAAAGTGGAGAAAGGCAATGAGGGAGGAAGAGCAGGAAAGGGCTCCAAAAACACCAAAGCCAAAGGCTAAGACGGTGAAGCAGGAGCAAAGTAGGAGCAAGTAGCCACAAGCGGCAATCCTAAATGTTTTAGCTGCATGCACATGTGGCTCTTTCATTTTTGTGGTCTGCGTGAAACTGTAGACACACTTCTTCTCTTGGCACAGGTCGCACAATACTCTCTATAGTTTAAATTCTCTTGTTGTGAAGGAAGCTCTGCATAGAATAGTGAATATAGTGTGTTCGGGTAACACGCAGCTGTGCGTGGTGGGAATTTCCTGTTTCTGCCAGGGGTTCTAGCAAGGTTGACATCTCCCTTGCGCGAGTGGGTGATGAACATCCATTCCAGTGGGTGACAGTGCTGTGTGTTTAACACTGCCAGGCTTCTGCCAGGCATCTGCTCCCAAAAAATCTGTGCGTGCAATCCTTCTTTTGTGGCGCAGGTCTTGTGAATGCAAGTTTGAGTGGCACGTGATTCTAGAGGATAGATTGGAAGGGAAACTAGCTTATAACATTATATATGTTTTCCTGAGATCCTGCTGGCGCATGGCCAGGTCAGAAAGAAGATGAATCGTGTGGTCCCGTAGTGGAACACATAGTTGAGAAAATAGCTGATGGAGCGCTTTGGCTTCCAAAGTGTTTTTGTTGATCGTTCGACCATCGCACAAAACGTAGGAATCAACATCATGGACCCCTGTCCCTTCTGCAGCCCAGGCAACGGCTTCCACTCTCCAGGAGCATGTACAGGCCTTGCAGGCAGAAATGAGATGTGACCCAAGTCTATCTCTTCACCCGTCCACAGCATCAATGATGTGGCGTAGTGGACGTACTTTGAAAAATGCTGCACGGCTATACAAAGGGGCCACAAAGAGATACAATCTTGAACTGTTCCTTGTCTAAGCCTTTAACATGGTTCTTCTTCATTTTTTCCTGGCCAATCTTATGGGAATTTTGACAAGAACAAACATGTTTTGGAAATTCTGTGGTGTTTCAAAGCAAGGAATATTCCGAACTCCTTCCACCACTTTGAAGAGAACGGTTTGGCTGTTGACCTCCCGTATCTGAAGGGTAGCGATGTCCTCCAACACTTGCTTGCAATGTACCCCTGGACGTTGCTTGGTGGGCTGAACCCAGGGGCTGAGGCCCAATGTTTGCTGGACTCATTTTGGAAGCTTTACAGAAAAGAGCATCCTACACACAAGGTTTTTGAGTTGGCAGATCGGAATTTGGTGAATCTGAAGTTCACAATTCCTCTAGCAATCCACGGAGATGGTGGCAGAACCTTAAAAAAACAACCGCTGGAAGTGATATCGATGCACCCGATCTTGGGATTGGACACAGGTATGGACACAGGCCATGTGGTTTGCAAATGCGAACCTTGCACAAAGTATGGAGGATGTGACATTGCAGATCCTTTGGCACAAAAATTGAACCATATACACTCAACATATTTGACGCACTTCTTGTTGTGCGCTTTTCCAAGCAAAAAGTTTGACAAGCTCCCAGGCCTTTTGTTTAGCTTGCTGGCAGCGATCTCTGAGAACCTCGGGCCGCTTTTGCTGGATGGCATTAGAACTGAAAATGGTGATCGATATCATTTTGCCTTTTTAGGCATGATGGGAGATATGGAATATCACGCCAAAACTGGTTTGCTGAACAGGTCTTACAAGAACGTCGGCCACAGGAACCAAATCCCTTGTCGCCATCTTTGTAGTGCTGGGGGAGTTCTGCACCCATTTGAGGATTTCTCAGCCCAGGCTTCTTGGAAGGGATCGATCTACCATTCAGCTCCATGGGATGAAGCGCCCCCTTACAAGCACATTCCTTTCGAGGATTGGTCATCTGGCTTGGCAGCAAGATGGTTTCTTTTGGATCCTTTTCATGTATTTCGCTTGGGAGTAGCACGGAACTTTATCGCTTCAGCAGTTCTTTTGCTATGTCATGATGGCTTCTTTGACGAAGCTGGTGACTCCACAGCTGTTGACCGTAGAATGGCGCGGGCGTGGGCTTCGTTTGCCTTGTGGTGCTTTACACATTCTGCGCACACATCAGGAATCAGAGGCTTTACCAGGGAAAAATTTCACTATCCCACCCAAGGTACATTTCCTTGGGTAGGATGCAAAGGCAGTGACTCCATTCTGCTGCTGCGCTGGTTAAAGTGGTTCTCTGGCTTGCTTCTACTGAGCCATCCTCAGTCGGCTGACCTTGGTCAAGTGCACCGAGGTTGTGTCCAAGGACTTGAATTCCAAGGCATTCATCGCCATGGACTTTGGTTGACAAGAAGTTGTCGGAAAAAAACTAGAGAAGAACTGCAAACTTTTTGTGTTTGCATACGCTCGGCTGGCGCAGATTTGCCTGCAAAGGCGACTTACGTTCTTTGCTCAAGTCCCGAAGATTCATAGCATGGCTCACCTTTACCACAAATTGGAGATCTCTGCTTTGGAAGACTGGTGTTTGAATCCATGCGCATGGGATTGCAGCATGAGCGAAGACTTTGTAGGAAGAATCGCTCGGCAAAGCAGAAGGATTGGTAACAAGAACAGTGCTTCCGCTACTCTCCATGCCTACAAGGTCAAAGCCAAACTCACTTTGAAGCGTTTTGTACAGAAACGACGGCAGGATGTCTGAAAGAGTGGAAGGAAAAGAGTGACACTGCTTGCAACCCAGTGGCTGTGATTTCCAGCTGGCATGGGCCATTCCCAAGCCGCCCAAGCTAGATTAATCATGGTATATATTATAACACACACTGATATGTTCAAGACAAACCGCTTGATAAATCCATAACATGTTTCTTTGCTCTCCAACTGCTTCTACTTCAAGCTGAAGCCAACGCAGGCGTGCTCACCATGGGTGATGTGGTTGGGAAGGGTTTCTGTTTCTTCAAAAAGTACCAGGGGCTGATTTTTTGCTTAGGGGCTGATCCTAGTACAAGGGTCCAAAAATCTTGTTCTTAGCTCCAGGGGCGATTTAAGTGCAAGGCAGGAGGTTGCAGGTACACATCAGGAAGTGCCATCCACTTCCATGTGCTCGTCTGTGTTCGTCGGATCAAACACATCGCAAAAGAAGATGGTGGAAGAAGTCCAGGAAGTCCAAACAGCGCTTTCCGAAAGACCGCTTGTCTTGGCTCAGCTAGCCTAAGGACGAGCTTTGCTGGTCATTTCACCCGCACAGTTTCTCCATCTCCAAGACCGGTGCTCGGCCACTTTGGCTTTCATGGTGCGGGGCACGATGGAACAGGAGGCGCACGTGCGCGATGGTTCGGGCACCATGCCAAGGATGACTCCAGCCTCTATTATGGGTATGAAAACCATTTGCATTGAGGACAATTTCTTGAGTGGCTCGATGCGCGAGTTTGTTCACGAATGGTCATGCCGAGTACTCTGGGTTTAGAATGTTTTGAGTGACTTGAGTGCTATGGATGTGTAACTCACCCTTGGCAAAGCTGGATGGGGACACCCCATACCCATGAGAGCCATGCCGGACCGGCGCGGGGATGCGGCGCGGCAGCCGCTGAGGGACCGGACGGGTGTGGTGAAGCAGAAGCCCAGTGCACTGCAGACCTTCGAGAGCAACTCTGGACTTATGAAGAGCCTCCGCACGTGTCACCTGGCAAACGAAAGGACCGGAGAGGACCGGGGAGGATGGACTGGATAAACTAGATGGACCGGATAAGATGATGGAACCTGACCTGTCGCGTCGGTGTGAGAAAGAACAGTGAGTAGCATAAAATCCGGGAATAATATATTGTTAATAGCTTTTTGTTACTACTAGTAAGGCACCTGTTACTACTAGCGTGGCACTTGTTACTAGTAGTAACAAGGACTATTTATAAATAGTTATTTGGATGTATTTGACTACGAGAGTTGCAAGTCTCCAATGCAGCAAAGAACGGCAGACAAGGCTACAGGAGTGGCTAGAGGCTACTTGAAAAGCAAGGCAAAGATTGAACGTCCCCATAACGTCATTGGACATTTCGTCTGAAGCATGTATACATCACTTGCAGATGGTCACTCTCTAAGATCACCTGATTCGGACCCTGCCAATTTCCAGCATCACCACTGTTCGAACACGCATCTGTAGGCCTGGAGCGTGCGGGCGATCCCTCCTGCCAGCCAGAGACCTTGCGGATGGAGTGCAAATTCCACGATGACTCGATGGTCTTCCAAGGTGGGACCATGACCCAAAAGCAGGAGCGACTAGGACACTACGAACGGGGCTCCTGGCCTTACTACTAGGAGCAAGAACGCTACTAGGAACAAAGGGCATCGCTACTAGGAGCACGGACGCTTCTAGGTTGGAGGCCATCGCTTTTCGGTTGGAGGCCATCGCAGTAGGTCGATCCGAATGTTCTCGGGCCCTTCTCGGGGAGACAATGGTCCAATGTCAACCGTCGACCCGTGGCGTGGTGTGGGACGACGTCGGTTTTTCGTTCACTTTCTTGCAGGACTTTGGTGCAAAAGATCAGTGTTGTGGGGGAGTTTGGGGGGCGGGGGGTGCTTTGACATGTTCCACATGGCACGACAATCCTTGTGTTCTTCGTCCACATCTTTTTGAGAAAAGTGTTGGGAGGTCGCAGCAGTTCTTTGATGCGTCATTTGGTTGGTCCCATTACCTGTAACAGTCGGTAAGCTAATTGTCACTATTTCGGAGAAAGGCCTGGAACCTCACCATCATCATCCACTCCTACAGGGAATGAGACAAAGTATAAACACCCAACCCACATCATCCACTTAAATTTGGTCCGAGAGACTCAATGTGTACCACACAAATCCTATAGGTGATGGATAATGGGTATTGTATGGTATTGTTCTTTCAACCTTTACTTGGGGAACCCATTGACCCAATGTATGTCATCTCTTTGAGCCGCTCTTCTCGGTCTTGACCGAGGCGGTGGCAGCTGGATTGCCAACTTTCCACCTACCGTGGCTGCAGCGACTCGGCAAATTGAGTGTTGGTTCGCTCACTACGGCCTTCTTAGACAGAGAACATGCTTGAAACGTGGCGGCTGAGAAACGTACAAGCCAACTTGCACGCGCACGGAACATGCCAACTTTCGAGCCTTCTGCTATCTTCTGCTAGTAGATTTATTGTTCTCTATGTAGCTTGGAAGGACAGATGGTCTGAAACGTGTTGAATCACAGTGGGCCATTTTTGAGAGAGAAACATGTTCGCCGACTATTGTGTACAGAAGTACGGTGTTCTTGTGTGACTATACCCACTAGACTCACTAAGTCACTAGCGATGGATCACGGATGTCAAAGAGAACGAGATAACTGCAACAACTACTTGTACTGAGGTGAACTCAGGTGTATACTCATGCAGATATTTAGTCCTTCAACCCGTCTGACCAGCCGTTTGCATAGATTCCGCATTTCAGGCGATCTACCAACGCTTCGCCCCGCAGGGCATCGTCTACGATGCCTGTGCCGGGTGGGGCGGACGCTTGTTGGGCGCGTGGCTCGGAGCATCGGTTTTTAGATCGGCTCCGTGCGGTGCTCGCAGGATCTGTTCTTGGGCCTTGGGATCCTGCGAGCTCAGTGGATCTATAGTTGTACGCGGTATGCATCAGTGTTCATTCCAACGCTTGCATTCCGTTGGTTGGATCTAGTTGAATCTTGTTGGCCTTCTGTGAAGTTTTCACCCAAGGGTTTTGATGAGCACAAAGGTAGGTGACCACTTCGGCAGACACGAAAGCACCCCGCCGCTGTACTTCTTCCGGATGGTTAGGTATTTGGGTGGCGTCCGGAAGTACATCGCCTGTGAGCCCAGCTCCAAAACCTTCGCCGGTCTCAAGGAGCGGTTCTGCAGCGCAGTGCTGCCCATGCAGAGGGGAAGAGTGGCAGTGTGATCATCGGCTGTGTCAGTTGAATCAGTTGAGTCTGAATGTTATTGAATCTAGAACATAGTGTTGGATTGTAGAGTCAGTTGAATGCCGCTTGCTTAGCCAGAAGTGAAATGAGACATCTAGGGATCCACTATACTCCCGGATATGGTTTCCATCCACCTTTCATGAGCCAATAGACCTGCTTCTGTCCCGCTGAAACGACAGCGCCGCCATCCGTGGGCCACCTTACGTTGATAGGCCTAAAGTCCTAAGACCATGGATTTCGGTTAAACATAGTGTAGCATGCTTGAAAACAACTCCCATGAATGCCCCATTAATGCATGGCCCTAATTGTTTGTCCTATTCATAAACAGGTTTGTTTTACTTGGCAAGCCATGTGTGGTGATGGTTGCACGTGCGGGCTCCGCACGATCCCAATGTTGCCAGAGTTGGTCGATGAGGACTTCGCCGAGTTTCTGCCCAACATGGAGGTGGAGCTCAACCAGTGCGGGGCGGAGGAGCTCCAGTCCAGCCGGGTTTGTGGAAGGATCGTATAAGTATCATGTAGAGAAGCTTTTGACAGACTGTTGGATCTTGGATCATATGTAATCGATTTGATGTGTGTTAAAGGTGAAGGATGTGGCCAATGGGCAAACCAGGTTGTGTAGAAACACGGGCTGCCTCACTCAGATCTTAGACATTCTTTGGAAGCCACTTGATTTCAAATTACCACAGTTTCCTTCATCGGAGATTCACTTGCCCAAATTTAGGCAGATTCTCGAGTGTCTCCCTTCCTGGCAGGGCGTCCTCCCTTTACCCCCTCCATCCTCAACGTTTTAGACAGTGCTCAAGGACTTTGAAGTGCCGGAGCAAGTAGACTTGGCCTTCACCTCGCCTCCCTACTTCAATACCGACGCTGGACGGACTAAAAGCAGCAGATGTGCTGCTTCATGATCATTAAGCAACATCAAGCAACCTCCCAGCCTAGATCCATATCCTTTCAAGCACTTGGTTGCCCACATTGCTCAAGGACTTTAGTTCAAGCGTGAGGCCTTTAGAATCCTTTAGTCTCTGAGTGTTATTTGTTGTTGAAAGACTTTGGAGATTCATCATGCTCTGAAATGATTTATTTGTACGCAATCCCAAGAGCTTGCCCGTGCAGTATGCAAGCTAGAGAGAAACTGGTCAAGGAAGTCCTCGTGTACCCAAGCCTACCTGTGGTCGTGTGCATGTTTTGTTCTGTGGCAAGTCGAGTTTTGTCAGGAGCCCCAACCTCCTGTATGCACTTTCATAAAATGGGGGCTCAAATCGAACTCAACACTTCCTTGCACCTGTGGAGTCAGTGGTGTGGTTGTGCCTTTTGACCAGATTAGGTATGCTTAGCTGTGTGCAGTGATGTAGTTCACTGCTGTGTCCCAATTTGTTGGCCACCGTTCTCTGCGCCAAGCAACAAAGGAAGCCTACAGCAGTGAGAAGAGCCAGAGCCATGTGAGGTTCCCGGACGTGGAGGCGGGTAGGTTCGAAAGCTTGGATTTGGACACTCAAGGTATTTCAATGGATTTCATTTTGTGGCACAAAGATGATTGTGATGTTTCATAAGTCGCTTGTTGAGTTACCCCGAGACTTATGGGGGTTGATATGATCCATTAAACATTCGCGCCCCCCAAGCAATACCACGAGCAATACCACGTCTGTATAGTTAATTGTTTTCACACGTTGTTCTTTTTATTCCGCGCCACGTGCTCATATTACGATTGGAGAAAACCCTTGGTTTCACTTCAGTGACAGACAGGTGATGGCAGGTGTTATGACATGGGCCGTCACTTTTCGAGAAAGCAAACAGAACCGAGAAAGGCCTGGCGCCGCGGCTTCCTCCGGCCGTTGCTGGCGCGGATGGTTGAGTCTCTACGGCCGGGAGGCGCGTGAGCACGGTGACGTGGCGATCTGGTGGAGTGGCACGTCCTTTTGGGCAAAAAGGAACGTTTTGAGGATGTTTTTGTGGTAGGTCAATAGATCCTTCTATGCTGGTGTGGGTCGTCCGAAGCATCACCGCATAGCACTGCTACAACTCATCACGATCTTTTGATTTAGAGTTGTAGTTGTCAATTTGTTTTTTGTGATTGCACTTATAGTCTGAAGTCTGAACATTCCTGCCTGTCCGGCTGCCAGGCCACCTACTGCTCTCAGTCACCACCCGGCGCACACACCGGCGTGCTGGCTTGGACGCTGGGCAACGGTGGGCGAAGCAAACCGCGGATGGTGTCACCGAATGAGAGGAACTTGACACAAAGCAACACAAAACATAAGCTACCGAAGTTAGGATTCGACACTCCAAAACGTTTATTCATCACACACTTGCCAAATTTGACCTTTGGATGTGTTGTTTCTTTGTATGCTTGAGGCAGCTGAACACTTCTGGCAAATCCCAAGACTTGCTTTCTGCACTTCCCGTGTCACACAATTCATGACTCCAAAGGACCGCGACCGCGACGTCTCGAAGTTGAAAACTCTGAGGACTTGGAAACGGATGTCCAAGAGATCGTGAGTGATCTGGGGCTTCTTCAGGACTCCCAAGATCCCAGCGATCCACATCGTCCATTCCCAGATAATTAGCCCAACAAGGAAGGAATTGAGTTGGGAAGCAGAGTTGGTTGATCTCGTTCTCCTGTGTTCATCTAATCGTCTAATTAGTCAGACTAAGATGTAGACCAAGTGGACACTTTGGTGTCGTTTTGCTTCCTGCTCTTCCACTGGCTGTCACTTGTATCCAGCTTGTCACTCCTGCAGGAGCCTTCGTTGAACATGCAAAGCGCCTCGCAAGCGCGGCCGATCTATGTTTGGAAAAAAGATGAAAAAAAAAAAACAGCGTTGCAGGTAGGTAAAACTGTCGAATTGAAGTTGGATGGATGTGCATGTGTGTGTGTGTGACCTGTCGGATTTGGTAAGAGTTGGAGCATCAAATCCTTGTCATGTTAGGCAATTGTTCAAGGTTTCTGAACTTCACGACACCAAGTTGGACCCCTCTCGCTTCTTCGCTGGAGATCGCTGTACAGGAATTTGGGTGGCTGGGCGACAATGTTTCACCGGCCATGACGATTGCATTGCCTCCTGTGCCCAATGTGGTGGGAGCTTTCGGTTGGTTCACTGCGGTGTTCAGTGTGAAGATGTGGAAGCTTGGAGGAGTCGAGCAAGAAAGACCCTTTCGGTGTAGGGACCTGTAATTAGGGACTTTCAGTTTCAAGGGTGTTTTTTTTTCTGTGTTTGCCCAAGAGTCAACCCACTTGACCCCTTTGTTTGCTTTGGGCCGTGCGGTGGGTCTCCCCTAATTCCCTTGCCAGACGCGAGACTCGCAGTCACCTCTAGCTGAGCGTACGTCAGGAAAGAGTGTAAAGCAAAGAAGACCTGCCAACTGAAGCAGCCTCCGCCCTTCTGGGTGCAGCCTCCACTGCGAGTCCTCCCTCAGCTCACGGAGATTGGCGAGGAGGAAGCATGGGAACGGATGCACTACTGGGGGGCAGTGATTTTGCCGCTTGTTGATCCAATGGATTCAACCGATGCTTTCCTGTTTCTGTTCTTGTTTGCTGCCACCTGACTAATGTGAACTTCTTTTAGGTTCCCCTTCTTGGAGCTGTGACTTGGATAAATGAACAGCTACATCTGCCCTTGGGTGACCTTGGCCGATTTTGTTTGAAGAGTACGGCAGTGGTCGCACTCAAAACAACAATCCGGAGGAAGGTCTATCAATCATGATTTCTAGCCGAAATGGAGCAAAGGCCTAGCGGATCAAGACACGCCACCGTGTCACCCGGATGTTCTCGGCGTTATCGGCTTTTGTCATGGAATTGTTTTGTTTTTTTGTGTTGATGTTGTTCTTTTTTCGGGCGACCATGGGGTGCAACACAGATCTCTGGGCATGCCACATGAGGCTCTCACCTTTGCTGATGGCCTTCCTTTGCGAAGCGATGCGTTGGTGCTTTGCCTGTGCCAAGCGGCGAATATCGCCGGGTGGCAAGTCATCAACTGCATCCATTGCGTCAGGCACCTACAGGTCCCTTCAACTGCATTGGATCTGCGAGACTGTGAGAGTGCCCCCAAGAATATCGGCATGGAAAAAGTCCGATACTTTTTACTAGTCGTAATGGGCTCCAACCTAATAGCGACGGCCTCCAACCTAATAGCTTCTACCTACTAGATGCATTGACTAGCAAAAAGCCTTATTTTATTAGTCTTTTTTTATGATAATGCTTGTGGCGCTCGGAGAAGGAATCCCCCCGCAGAGGATCCATTTGTGAGGACTCGCTCGAGAACCGAGCGCCGAGGTCGCTTCAAATGGAGGAGTCGATGCCTGACTTAGAGAAACCCTTCACCGAAACAGTGGAGACGCCTCCTGAGCCCGATCATCCATCCGGCTGCTGTTGCATGCTGTGGATCTATCATGCTGCTTGGCAGTGGAAGTGAAGCTCGTAAGAAGGTGGTTGGACCATTTGTCAAGGAAGCAGAGCATGATTTCATTTGACAAGTTGTTGATTTGGTCAGATCTGTAAGGATGGGTCTGCAATTCCTTTGCGAACAACTGCCCCGAATTAGTTGGTCATAGTTTAGAATAGTTGTGCAATGCTGTGCTTAAATGTTTCCCGAACACTTATGAACACTTACGTAGGCCAATGTGAACAGGGCCCACTACAGGGCCCCAGATGAACAAAAAGAGGATCCTAGACACGAACATCCATGAACATCCTGCCAACAAAAATGGGACACCGATTGGAAACGGAGAGGATATATATATATATTATATATATACTGTATATGACCTATAGGTGAGCTCTTTGAGCCTTGTGCACCCCACAGCACCCTTACCACCAGCATGCACCACCGATCTCCACCTTTGTTGCAGCTCCCAGGCCATGTGTGCTGGCCTGGTGGCCGTGGGTTTGCTGAACGGGTGGATCTCCGGTGCCTTCGGGGGCGGCGTGGCGTGGGAGCTTTGGGTGATTTGGCAGCAGATTTGCCTTTGGAACTTGTTTCTGCAGAACTTGGCGCGATGTGTGATGCAGGTGACTTGGCAGCGATGCAAGTTTGAAGAAAGGTGTTTGTTTTGTCGGATCTAACAGATGGTTCAGGATTGGTATTGTGCCGGCTTCTTGGATCCAGACCCAGCGTGAAAGCCAATGTGAATATTTCTCTGCCACGGCACCCTAGTTCACTATAGATGCTAAAGAAGTAGTCTACGACCAGTACGCGCTCGCGCCCTTCCCGTGAGTGCCTCATAGGCCATGGGCATCCGACATAGGCCATATTGAGAAAATCAGGCTGGCTCTTCGACCAAACTCACCCCTATGCAAACTGGAAACCGGAATCCCTTCGATCTCTTACTGTTTCCCAACACATCAGTGGACATCACCCAAGAGCGATGGCCTCCAACCTTGGACCTTTCGATTGGCCTCCCCGATGCTCCGAACGAGGATGAAACTGCCCTGCATGCCTCCACCGTCACGTCGGTGCTCTTCTACACGACACCCTTTTTGAGCGAGGTGGCCGATAGCATGAAGGATTGGGTGGTCACAGGCATTTGCATTTGCCATGTCGCTTGGACCTTTATTGGCAGGTCAGGTTGGTGTTTCAGAGTTGCGCTCCCTCCTCATATGTAACTAGGCAGAAGTGGTTTTCTTTCATTTTTAGGCGAACATGTTGGGCAGAATTCCGCTTGCGAGGGTTCTGGTTCTGGCACAGACTTTCACGTGACTGTTCCTTTTGACAGAGTGCTGTGAGAAGTACTCGCTCCTCGTATGAACACTCCAGCAAGTCAAGGGCGAACGCCGCTGGAATCGTATCAAGAGTGGAACTGAGGTGAACCTGTGCCTTGTGACTATGACATATCAACAACATCCATCTCAATGAAACAAGATGGAACCCACGAACCCGAATGCAAACACGTTGGAAAAACTACATATGTCCAAATGACACTCTTGTAGGACACTCTGAAAGGACACTCTTGTAGGACACTCTTGTGGGACACTCTTGTAGGACACTCTTGTGGGACACTCTTGTCGGAAACTCTTGTGGGACACTCTTGTGGGACACTCTTATAGGACACTCTTGTGGGACACTCTTGTGGGACACTCTTGTAGGACACTCTTGTGGGACACTCTTGTAGGACACTCTTGTGGGTCACTCTTGTCGGAAACTCTTGTGGGACACTCTTGTGGGACACTCTTATAGGACACTCTTGTGGGACACTCTTGTAGGCTAAGAACACAAAACCTGCGTTGTGGCCCGCGCGATGCGACGACAAAACCGAGAAAACCAGAAAACCGAGAAAACCGTTTTCGCGTTTTCCTGTGTGGAAGCTTTTTCCAGTTTGCTTACGTCTTCTTGCTTGTCTTGCCTTTGAGCGTGAAAACCGCAACCAAGAAAACCGGCAAAACGAGAAAACCAAGACAACGGTTTTCATCGTTCTCGCCGTTTTCCCGTTTTCGCCGTTTTCGCGTTTTCGCCGCTTTCGCCGTTTTCGCCCGTTTGCGTATTTTTGTCGTTTTCGCCATTTTCGTAGTTTTCGCCGTTTGTGTCGGCTTCGCGGCGCAGTAGTTGTTTTCTTAGTCTTCGCCACTTTCGAGGGTTTTCAATTATGCTCCTTAGTTGTGCACTAAATCTCAACGGTTGAAGTTTAAGTTCAATTCACGAATCTTAGTAAATAGTTCAGTGAATCAGAATGATCTTAATCTCCAATCCAAAATGGAATATCACCTCATCACAGGCACTACGCATGAACGACCAGATAACGTGACCAAGTCTATCCAGAGGGAACCCAGGGATGAAAGAAAAACAAGAATCAGACGACGTCCATTCCTCTCCATCAAACTGAAGAGCCGTGGCATGCCTCATGGCTCTCCTTGCGCGGAATCGACGAGCTCTTGTGACGCAAGGACAGATTGGAAACCAAGGGCTTGCGATGGACTCTAAGTTAGTTCAGTGGGGCTTGCCTTCCTGACAGTTCAAGAATTACCCGTGAACACTTTGTATTTTGTTTCAATAGACTGGCCTGGGCACATGCAAACAGCAGCTAAGATCAATCGTTGATGGTTGGGATAAGCCGCCCCAGCCAAGGCATGCCCGAGCTCCAAGGCTAAGTTCTCCAGCACACATCTCCCATTGTATGCCTTGCAAGTCATTAAGACATCTCCAGTTTTCTTCTTGACCTCGGCTAAATATATAGCTAGATGCTCACGCTGAAACAGGGTAGTTGGATGTTAACAAGCCAAGATTCTAGCCTGGTGGTGAAGGGCGGCTGCGAAGAAAAGATGCAAAGAGTATAAGGCACAGACCTTCCATGCTTACTTACCATAACAAACCCGATCGTCAGGACCGAGCGAGGCCCGAATTCACGTCCGGGTTCTGGCGGCGCATTGTGTCCTATCGGGCCCCGCGCAGCTACTGCTCGAACACACGTTGAGCCGCCTGGCGCAACAAAGGTGGACCGATTTCAAGGCCGCCCTAAAGAGCGCACTTGTTTCAATCTTGTGTCTTCCGATCCTGCACGATTTTGCCATGCCATGGGCTCCATGGACATAAGCCAAAACAAGGGATGCCATATTTTTGGTCGACAGCTGTCGGCCAGACCCAAGCAAAGCAAGATGCGCCTGGTTTAGAACAAGAAAAGATATACATTTATGGAGTGTTGTAGATTCAAAGTTGCGCTGTAGATCCTGTAGGTGGTCAATGTGGGAAAGGAAACAAGATCAGAACACTATTGTAGTTGTCAGTGCCTAGCTTATGTACACTATATACACATACAAATATATATATATATATACACATGTATCTATATACATAGTTTACATGAGTGTTTAGCCGAAAAGGGCCGATTCAGGGCCTTCATGGGCCTTCCACTTCCACCGATACGTCGACAAAGACCTAAATTTTTTTGGTGGGAAAAAGAGATCTTGTCTTGTTGGGGAGAAGAGCCAGCGATCTGGAGAATGCCTCAGTGTTCCATCTATTTGGGACCTTCAAGGCAACCCCATCTTTGTCGTGGTGGTGGACGCCAGTCGCTCCGAACCGCTGGCCAATCGCTTTGTGGAGGGTGGTCATGTGGCCATCGTCTTGCAGTGAGGACTGATGCGTCTAGTGTCCTGCGAACCGTTTTGAGCAGTCCTGATTGGGGTGTAGGCTCCCCCAAAGGCGCACGGTGCATCCACTCCAATAGAGAGCTCGTTGGAGTTCGCGCAAAAGAAGATCGGGGCAGCGTCATGGGAGGAAGGATCGAGGAAGGTGATCCCTAAGTTTCGCCGTCTTCTTGCTTCTCTTGCCTTTGAGCGTGAAAACCGCAACCAAGAAAACCGGCAAAACGAGAAAACCTAGAAAACGGTTTTCGTCGTTTTCCCGTTTTCGCGTTTTCGCCGTTTTCGCCGTTTTCGCGCCGATGCGGTGTTCGAGAAAACCATGAGCTGTGTCAAATCCAGGCACTTTGTTTCCGCCGTTTTCCCGTTTTCGCCGTTTTCGCGTTTTCGCGGTTTTCGCGTTTTCGCGTGGCCTGCCCCCGCATCACCGGGGGCCGAGACACACGTTTCGTATGCACAGGTAAGACACTCTTGTGGGACACTCTTGTGGGACACTCCTGTAGGACACTCTTGTGGGACACTCTTGTAGGACACTCTTGTGGGTCACTCTTGTCGGAAACTCTTGTGGGACACTCTTGTGGGACACTCTTGTAGGACACTCTTGTGGGACACTCTTGTAGGACACTCTTGTAGGACATAGGACACTCTTGTGGGACACACTCTTGTAGGACACTCTTGTGGGACACTCTGTGGGACACTCTTGTGGGACATTCTTCTAGCTCCCCAGGTGCTCCGCGTACTAAAGTTGTACTACAAGGTCGCCAGTTCTCAGCTTGCGGCGCCGGACAAATCGCGCTCTCGCCTGCATTGCGCTCACTCGACACGCACGATCTCCGCAGAGGGTTGCGCGTCAAGTCTCCAAAACGAGCGTTTCGTACGAGACTTCCTCAAGAACTCACACGTCAAAGTCTGCAAAACGAGCGTTTCGTACGAGACTCCCTCCAAAAGTCAAGCGGAAACACCCATCGGAGCACACACATCACGCAGCCCTGCCAAGCAGTTTCGCGATTCCAGCCCCTCCAAACAACATCCGCTCACACGCCAATCCCAATGTGACAGCGACATTCACCTCTACCACAACTCAAAACCTCACGATTCCCTGCGCCTGCCACGAATCTTTCCACGTCCACACGTCTAACGCGCACAAAGTACTGCGCCTGCCACGAAATGTCACCTCCGTCACACCTCGCAACCTCACGATTCCCTGCGCCTGCCACGAGAATCGCACTTCCAGGCCTCAAAACCCGCACAAAGTCCTGCGCCTGCCACGAAAAGTGACAATATCATCTCATGTGAGCTTCAACAAAATTTGCACCACACCACACGTTTGGAATGATTTCGACCCGTTCTGAGCACACTCCCATCCACAAAAATCGCCATTTCAGCTGAGACACGAAAACCGAGCTTCGATGCCACACCCTGAAATGCAAATCCCAATGGCACGGCCACATCCAACACCCCAAAAACACGACTCTCCAAACGCTAATCCCAATGGAACTGCGCAGCAATCTGCGGATCTCACAAAACGCTGCGCCTGTGCAGCGAAATGCATCACGTTTCTTGCGCGACGTGTCATTGTCGTGCAAATCACAATGGAATAGCGGCACAAACTGACACGTGACACATCCATGCAAAGTCACTTGCAAAAACTTCCCCCAATGGCAGCGAATTTGAGACGCAACGACGACGACAAACGACGACAAACGACGACAGACGACGAGACGACGCAAGCCATGCAAACATAGCTCCAACCCCCAGACCCCCAACTATAAACGAGAACCCTTCGCTACGCATTCGGGAAAAACCTTTTGTAGATGGCTGGCTGGATGGATGGATGGATGGATCGATAGAATAGAATAGAAAGATAGATAGATGACTTCAACACTTGGTCTTTTCTCCCTTAGGTATCTCTCCGTCGTCACAGATCCACAGGTGTTTCTCGCTTCGTCTCCGAGGCCCAGCGGAACTTGATCGGCTTCACCGTGGGCTGCGGCCTCCTGGGCCTCGAGGCCTTCGCCTTGGCGCTCGGCGCCGTGGCCGTGGGCGGCGCGTTGCACCGCGTCACGGTGAAGATCTCCGAGCGAACGCGGATCAGCCCTCCGGCGATGCTCCTGCAGGCGCGCAGCTCCTGTGAAAAGGTGGTTGGGAGAATTGAACAGAGGAGAATCTCTATGATGAATCTTTGGCAAATGAAGAAGGGAATGGCCTTTTACTCAGTCATGATGTGACTTAAGCTCTAGGGAACGTACTTGGAAGCAGTCAGGATGTCAAACAATATCTCGTGATATCTTGTGTTTGTCCTTTGTATGCTTAGCACCTTTCTTGAATCGGGCTTTCCAGTCCAAGCCTTTGCAGGCACTCTATGCCACATTTCTGGTGACACGCATCCCTATTTGGGCGCTTGCATGTATCGCTGGTTGGCTATTTGCATGTACTGGTGCCCGAGAACGTCCCGTCTTAATTTTCCTTCTCCCAACAAGTCTTCTTGTGCTTGGCCTCGTGCAATGGCTCCGCTCGCTACACATCACCTACGCAGACACGGCCTTTTGGTTTCTGGCTGATGGGAGGCTGTTGGCGGTAATCTCCGCTTATGCCATCCTCTATAGTCACTTTTTGGCTGTGCTTCATGAAGACTCTGCAAAGGATCTTTGCAAGACCTTCAAGGCCATCCGGTATCTTCCCTTGAAGCCTCCCAGCTCCTTCCCGGAGGGCCTAGTGGACAAGATTGCAAGGCAAGTTGGAAATCTGTGCGTGGATTTCTTGAGCAGTTCTCGATTGCTCTTAGCTTGGTCGAAGGATTTGCCTGAAGCCATCATTGCTTTGGTCCTTCTCTTTCAAAGTGCAACAGATCAGCCAGGTTTGGGACTCATCGGATATTCTGCCATCATCAGCATTGTCAAAAGTCTTTTGATTCCCTCCTGTCAGCATCTCCTGCTTTCACAGCGAAAGGCGGCCTTTCAGCAGGCCTTGGTGGCTTTAGTCCGATCCAATGAGAGCGTGGAACTCCTGCTGCGAGACCTGCAGCCCAGCACGTCGACGAAGCCCACCGCCTCGTCGGCGTTGAGCGTGGAGCAAACCAAGCAGAAGCTACAGGTCTTGCTGAGCGAGGCGTCGCGGCATTTGCTGAGCGAACTGAATTTGGGAGATGCTGAGCGCTTCAAGGCCTTTCACCTTTCGCGGGAGAAGTGGCTTTCGCAGGTGGTCACCTCGGAGGACGGGGAGAGAATCAGGGGTCGATTGGTGGCCAGCTATGTGGAGACGGGCATCTCTGCCAACGAGCTTTTTGATCTGGGACATATGACGGGCAATTGCAAATTGGTGGGTTTCACGGCACTTGAGTGCAAGCTCATTGCAAGATTCTCTGCGAAACAGTGTAAAGATGCAGGCTTCTTGGTAAGTGATTGCCTTGGTGCTGGCTACACGACCAAGGAGATCAAAGCGGCTGATTTCTCTGCTAGAGATTGGAAGGATGCGAGCTTCACTGCAAATCAATGTAAGGATGCCGGATTTTCGGCAAAGGAGTGTGCCGATGCAGGATTCTCCTTCCAAGATTGCCTAGAGGCTGGTTTTTCAGTGGATCAGTGCAACGAAGCTGGTTTCGCAGCTGCATTGTGCATGAGCGCCGGCTTTTCTGTGAGAGATTGCAAGGATGCAGGCTTCTCAGCAAAGCAGTGCAAAGATGCTGGCTCCTCTGCCAAAGACTGTAAAGATGCCGGATTCACTTCTAGTGAGTGTAAAGTTGCTGGCTTTTCTTCCACAGACTGCAAGGATGCAGGCTTTTCGGCAAAGCAGTGCAAAGATGCAGGCTTTTCTGGTTTGGATTGCAAAGAGGCTGGCTTCTCTGCCAAACAGTGCCGAGATGCTGGCTTCTCAGCCAAGCAATGCAAAGATGCAACCTTCTCCGTAGACGAGTGCAAGATGGCGGGCTTTTCTGTGCTAGATTGCAAGGATGCAGGCTTTTCGGCAAAGCAATGCCGAGAAGCAGGCTTTTCGGCTAGAGATTGCAATGACTCTGGTTTTTCTGCTGAGGAGTGCAAGGAGGCTGCTTTCTCAGTTAAAGACTGTAAGGATGCAGGATTCTCTGCTAGAGAATGCAAGCTTGCTGGCTTCTCTGTCATAGATTGCAAGGGTGCTGGCTTTTCAGCCGAGCAATGCCGAGAAGCAGGCTTTTCTGCAGGAGACTGCAATGATTCGGGCTTCTCTGCCGAGGAGTGCAAGCAGGCTGGATTCTCAGCAAAAGATTGTAAGGATGCAGGATTCTCTGCCAAAGAATGCAGAGTTGCCGGCTTCTCTGTCATGGATTGCAAGGGTGCTGGCTTTTCAGGAGAGCAATGCCGCGAAGCAGGCTTTGCTGGCGGAGATTTCCATGTCTCAGGCTTTTCTGCCGAGAAGTGCAAGGAAGCTGGTTTCTCAGCCAAAGATTGCAAGCACGCTGGATTCTCGGTTGAAGATTGCAAAGATGCTGGCTTCTCTGTCAAAGAATGCAAGGATGCCGGGTTCACTGCGAAAGCATGCCGAAATGCAGGCTTTTCAGCAAGCCAGTGCAACGATGCCAGCTTTTCAGCAAAGGATTGTAAGGATGCGGACTTCTCTGCGAAAGAGTGCAAAGTTGCAGGCTTCTCTGCCACAGACTGCAAAAATGCCGGCTTTTCAGCCAAGGATTGTGCGGATGCTGGCTTTTCTTTGCAAGATTGCAGAGATGCTGGCTTTTCCGCAGACCAATGCAAAGAGGGGGGGTTCTCCGCCGGAGCATACAAAAGGTCTGGTAGCACTGTGAAAGATTGCATGGATGCTGGCTTTTCGACTGAGCAGTGCAATGATGCTGGCTTCTCCGCGATGGATTACAAGAACTCGGGTTATTCTGCCAAGCAGTGCAAGGATGCCGGTTTCTGTGCTAAAGACTGTAAGGATGCAGGATTCTCTGCCAGAGAGTGCAAGCTTGCTGGCTTCTCTGTCATAGATTGCAAAGGTGCTGGCTTTTCAGCCGAGCAATGCCAAGAAGCGGGCTTTTCAGCCAGAGATTGTAAGGATTCCGGCTTCTCTGCCGAGGAGTGCAAGGAGGCTGGATTCTCAGCAAAGGAGTGTAAGGATGCAGGAATCTCTGCAAAAGAATGCAAGCTTGCCGGCTTCTCTGCCACAGACTGCAAGGATGCCGGCTTTTCAGCCAAGGATTGCGCGGATGCTGGCTTCTCTTTGAAAGATTGCAGAGATTCTGGCTTTTCTGCAGACCATTGCAAAGATGCTGGTTTCTCCGCTGGAGCGTACAAAAGGTCTGGCAGCACCGTGAAAGATTGCATGGACGCAGGCTTTTCGACACGGCAGTGCAATGATGCTGGCTTCTCCGCGATGGATTACAAAGATGCAGGCTATTCTGCCAAGCAGTGCAAAGACGCTGGCTTTTCAGCCAAGCAGTGTAAAGATGCTGCCTTTTCTGCAGAGGAGTGCAAGACGGCTGGCTTTTTTGCATTGGACTGTAAGAATGCAGGCTTTTCAGCAACGCAGTGCAAGGATGCTGGCTTCACAACTAGGCAGTGCAAAGATGCACACTTTTCTGCACAGCAGTGCAAGGCAGCTGGATTTTCTTCTCTAGATTGCAAGACTGCAGGTTTTTCTGCCAAGCAGTGCAAAGATGCTAGTTTTTCTGCCCTAGATTGCAAACAGGCTGGCTTTTCCGTCAAGCAGTGCAGAGATGCTGGCTTCTCAGCCACGCAGTGCAAAGATGCTGCATTCTCTGTCGATGAGTGCAAGACGGCTGGCTTTTCCGTGCTAGATTGCAAGGATGCAGGCTTTTCGGCAAAGCAATGCCGAGAAGCAGGCTTTTCTGCTAGAGATTGCAATGACTCGGGCTTTTCAGCAAAGCAGTGCAAAGATGCTGGCTTTTCTCTCATAGACTGCAAGGATGCAGGATTCTCTGCCAGAGAGTGCAAAGTTGCTGGGTTCTCTGTCATAGATTGCAAGGATGCAGGCTTTTCAGCGAAGCAGTGCAAAGATGCAGGCTTTTCTGCTCTAGATTGCAAGGATGCAGGCTTTTCCGCCAAGCAGTGCAGAGATGCTGGCTTCTCAGCCAAGCAGTGCAAACATGCAACCTTTTCTGCAGAGGAGTGCAAGATGGCTGGCTTTTCCGCCCTGGATTGCAAGAATGCCGGCTTTTCAGCAGAGAGCTGCAGAGAAGCAGGCTTTTCAGCCATAGACTGCAAGGATGCAGGCTTCTCTGCCGAGGAGTGCAAGGAGGCTGATTTTTCAGCGAAAGAGTGTGTGGATGCTGGGTTCTCATTCGAAGATTGCAGAGATGCTGGCTTTACTATTGAGGATCTTGACTGGGATCCATTGTAGTGTATTGTGGGAAGTGGAAACCCATTAGAGCTCATGTAGTTACTTGAGACAACTAGTCCCGCTCCATTTTGATAGGTCAAATTGAAAGAACCCTTACTGCAGCAATGGAATTCAATGCGCAGAGCGCTCGACAAACCGAGCCGAACCCTCGCTCCAGAAATGTGATTGGCTCCGAAAAAGGCCACAGCGGGCGATGCCGCTTTGTGCGAAATTGCTGAGATGGTTCTGATCCCGAAAACTGAGGAATGTTTCCACAAACCCCCAGTAAGGTGCATGTTGGTAGGGACTCCCCTGCTATCGGGACCACATGGAACCCCAAAACCACTCGGTTGTGGAGGAAAATGGTCGAAATTACAGTTCAATTCTCAGGTTCCATGCTAGTTTGCAGGGGGCGGCATCCGGTTCAGCTGGTAATCTGTAAACGAATGACTGGTGTCTGCTGCACTCGATCCACTTAGAATCTCCACCGGTCGCTCAACATCCGCTGCTCGCTGGCTCACGAGCGACAGACGCGTGACTTCAGACGACTTCAGATGCCGGCTCCGTTGGATGATTGGCGCGATTTCTCCGGCGGAGACTTGGGCTTATATAAGTCTGGGATGTCCGTTGATGGAGTTTTGTTCGAGCTCTATGTTACATAAATTAAGTTATATAAGTTAGTTGACACGTACACACCCGAATGGAGCAAATCAATTTTGCTATACCACCTGTCAAGACGGGAAGGCAGCAGACCAGACCAAGAAGTGAGTGCAATTTAGGCCTGACCCAGAATGTTCCACCTGCAAATGCCTCGAAGGCTGAAGATATTCCAACAATGCCCTAGAGCTCTTCTGCATGGATCTCTCATCAGAAACATTCCAACTCAGAGGTGCTTGAGAGCTTTCACGTAGGCTCTTTGAGACTCAAAACAAACAACGGCACCGGAGGCACATACATTCCCAGACCTTGCAATCTTAAGTTGAGTTGAGGTGCATTATGAAGCCACTGGTTTTCCCCAGACCCTTGCAAAGTTAGATAGATCCTGATGAGTCCAATGTGACTGTAGCGACACCTGACTTCTGAAGGCCGCCTTCGACCGGGGAGCTGCCCAAGACGGACTGGGGAGGTCTTCGAGCGAAGCTTGGACCCCAAGACATTTTACTAAGCAACTACATTTTGAGGGGATCAGTTGGAAAGCACTTTTGATCTTCATGGAAATGTTCAAATGTCAGATTTGGTTGACAGATGAAAGTAAGGTGAAACAAGCTCGAAGTTCTCTCAATTAGACTTTCACATGGACTATTTGGCGAAACCACTTTGGTTGAGCGAGATTCTGCAAATGTTCATATTGTTGTGCAAGATCACGTGTTTCACTCAGATCAATCATTCAGGAAGCGAGAGAGAGAGAGAGAAGAGAGAGAGAGAGAGAGAGCAAGACCTAGTGGCTCCCCAGACCAAAGGACGATACTATCCCACGTGTACGTTGCATAATTAATGATTAATATGTCGTAAGCCTCCAACTTGCACCCCAAAACTTTCATGCCGAAGCCACAATAGTCGCTGAGAAGGCAGAACATGTTTTTAAGACATGCCACCAAAGACAGCAGGATCTCTTGAAACTTTCTCCTGTCCTGCAAGACTATACTCATACTCAATCGCAGGACTGTGAAGGGCATGTATCTCTAAATTTCACATTGAATTCTTTACACGAACGAGGACAGCTGCGCTGTCACTCTCTCGCTCTCTCTCTCTCTCTCTCTCTTCTCCTTAGTCTTGGAAGTTTTGAGAGGAGTTGACGACCCTCAATTCTCAAGCCCAGTTGCGGTCCTGGCAGAGCTTAAATAGTGAGAGTATCACCTTTATAACGTTGAGAATTGAGACTCGCAGTCCTTGATGCGTCATTTCTCTCAGTGCATCCCACCTGAGTCACCTGCGGCTGCCACCGGACTCGTCCAATGCCTCAGGAGCCAAGACATCCGAAGCATTTTCCAAGAATCAGGTCACTTGGCTCTCAAGGATCCGATTGTAAGGCATTTGGCACCGTTGGCTTGAATAATGTATATCAATGTATACATCCTTTACAGGTGGGCATTCGTTGTGTTCACACAAGGTTCGGAGGATGTTTTGTGAGCACAAACGACCTGGAAATAACAAGCGGGATATGCACGGATAGGGTAGCTGCCGGAACAAGATCGCTACACACAGAAGGCATCAGCGCACCATTTGAGCGTAGCAGTATTACACTGGCATTTGTGTGCGCTCCATCCAGGAATAGATTTCTTTTTGGGGCACCAGCAGAAACTGATGTATATCTCCCGATGCGTCTTGGCCTTGAAGTGTGCCACTGTTTTACTATGGGCCATGCATATGGCCCATGTGGCCATGTGTCCTCTTCCAAATGTGGTGGGAGTCCTGAGCTGGATGGCGGAGGTTTTCAGTGTTTCCGTGTGGAAGCTCGGCGGTGTGGAGATGCAATTGCAAGAGAGAAAGGTTTTTTTGCAATTTCTCCCCACTCAAACCTGCAAGGTTGCCCTTCAAGATCTATTTTTGAGTGTAGTTTTGTATAGTTTTGTATGATTCCTTTTAATAGCAAGTGTAACTAGCATTGCAGGTTGCATAGACAAATGTAGCACCTTTGTCGATAGCTTCTTGATTCAAAAGTTCCCCAGCCAGCGAGGAAGGAGTGCGATTTCAACGTCATTTGCCGCCTGAAACGTTTCCCGCCACTTCTTATAGAGCCACCTCCTAGATTCCTTCCAAAGTTGTCGGAAGTCGATGGAGAAGAGAAATTAGCAAGGTTCAACTACTGGGCTGCAGTCTTATTGTTCCTTCATTTGATCAAGCCTGTTTTCTCCTTTTAGCCTGATAGTTTTGAGGCATCCTTGCTTCAAAGGGGAATGTGCGGGATTTTGACACAACATACATACTCTATAATATATGAGAGTTTGCAACAGCATGTCACCACCAGTTCGTGAGGGGTCTTTGCAGTTGGACGCACTGAACCGCGCCGACAAGGTGCACCTTTAGCCTCGAGCAGTTGTGAAAAGGCATTTCGTCCTTCCGCTCACGCTTCGCCTAGTTGGCAGCGGAGCTTTTCGTGCTCGCGCCATGCCGTTGGTACCGCGTGGCTTTGGTTCCGCTGAGGACCAACCCTTGCTGGATGCCAGCGCCGCTGGCGCTCCATGGCGGCCGAGTTTGAATGCCTCGCTTTGTTCAAGCCCTGCTTCAAGCCAAGCAGGAGCCCATGAGCCGGACTTCGTCGACCTCGCCTCCGACGAGCTCTGGATCTGCCGCGCATGCGGCTCCCGGGACTATGAATGGAGTGATGAGCGCAAGCTATGGCGCTGTGGTAGCTGCGGATCGAACCTTCTTTCTCCGCAGCCTTCCATGGCCACTGATCCGGCCGCTGGTATGAACGGCAGATGGTGCTTCGTTCCCAGTGGACCCTGGAACTTTGAGCCCAATCCCACCTTTGCACCAGGTAGCACTCCGACTATGTCATGGGGTATTCTGAGGGGACCAATGCCGCAGCCTGTTCGTGCACACCTTGGACCTTGTAGAGTATCCCATGGACCCGAACGTGTACACCCTCATGTAGCACATGGTTTGGATTCCTCACTACCTCACGGCCCCCTCGATGGCAACCTCCTGAACAGAGAGGAGACCCACCTCGAGCACCTGACGCCAGTCCTGACGGACCTTGGGACGGCTCTCAAAAGGAAGGGCCTCAGATCCAAGTGTGATCCCAAGCGACTTGGCTGCACCTGAGACCTCACCTTCAGGTCACTCTTCAACGGCCTTACGCAGGAGGAGACGCCGACGACGTGGCGGCCCTGGCAGCCCTGGTGGAGACCCGCCAGGTGATGATGATCATGGAGACCCTCCAGGACCGCGACAACCCGATCTGCCGCTTGGATGACCGAATGCCACTCGGCCGCAAGGAGCAGGCCCACCTTCAGATCCACCTTCAGGAAGTCCCGGTGCAAGCTCATCAACTTCGTGGAACAGCATGAAGGGGCCTATGGCAGGCCTGAAGTTTCGTGGAGGTCAGCCTCCACAGCCTCCACCATGGCACTACGACAAAAGCGACTTGTCTGCGTTCCGCAAATGGCGGAAACGGGTGGAGACGCGGTCACTGCAAGTTGTGAACTATGTCCCAAACCGGGAAGCAGGCATTTTGCTGTTCAACTCCCTCAAGGGGGAGCTCGAAGAGGAGCTGGAGGACGCAGCAGTTGACCGCAAGGCCGTAGAGACCCGGACTGTCCATTTGAAACGCCAACTGCTGGCGACCTACGGGCGCATCTATCGCAGCCCCACCGAGACCATGAGGTCCTTTGTCAACCGCTACCAGCGCACCATGGAGAGCATGGGCTTGTTTCAAGTGAAGGAGCTGAACCTATTCAGCAAGTGGAAGTCCAACAAGTCCTGGACTGCGGTTGATTGGGGAAATATTGAAGGCTGGCGTGAAATCACTGAGGGCAATTGTGAGCGGCTTGTCAAAGGAGTGACAAATGACACATGGTTTCGGTACAGGACACGCAAGGGAAGGTTTGCGAAGTACTCCATATGGTTACAAGATCACAAGAACTATATCATTGAGGCCACCAATAAAAAAGGAATGCGGCTGCCGCAGAGGCGAGCACCACCTAGTGTGATGATCAAGCCATTGATTAGCCCTGTGATATTTGTGAAGTGCTGGATCAAGCAGGGAAGTGCCTTTGCCACGTGTCAAATGCTCAGTGGAAAGCAGCTGGGAACCATTGCTGTTGGTGAGACTGAGTCATTCGCCAGCTTGCGCATAAAGCTCAAGCGGATTGTTATGCATGCTCAGATGTTCACACAGCCAGAGTTATGTCATGTGAAGTTCGTGGCTTTTTTGGCAATGGAAGGTCATTTCCTTTGACTCACAGTTTCTTAAACTGTAGAGTCTTGAAGGCAATTCGCAGGAGGAGGTTGGTGAGCCAGGATTGAATTCTACAGAGGGACTCCAATGGCTGTCAAAGTACAATGTGTTGCTTTGCCAGGTGATCAATTGTGAAAAACTGCCTCACTGCAATCCAACTGCTATGCCATGTGACCAACTGCTCATGAGAATGGCAGTCTAGTATACTTTCCAGTCCACATAGAGCATCATCACTCTATGAATTGTGGGGATTGGATCAAGTGATGCAAGTGTCTTCGCTGGATCCTGGGACGG